CCTCGAGCAGCACTGCCTCGGCGTCCGCATCACCGACAAGCAATGCTGCATCCTCCAGCTTCGGGGTCATGGGTTTGGAGTGGTCGCTCGTGGGCACCTTGTTGGCTCCTGCCATGGCGTACATTTTCTCATGAACCGCGCAGCAGGAGTGGAGATAGAGGACGCGACATGCGAACCCTGCAGTTTGCAGTGGCGGGTAAGGGTGCGAGGCTCGCAACACATAGGGGAGAGCTTGCTAGGGCTGCACGAACAGGGGAATGGTTTTAGCCAATGAATCATGGCCGCAAACCAGATTGTTTAATTTAGTACCATGCGACAATTTCAACCTTTGAACGAACCAGCTTCCACTTCCCCTCTTTCTTCGGGCATCCTTCCCGCTCCTCCCAGAACAGATAATGACTGAGCTGATTTGAGACGAGATGCGTAACTGAGTAAGTGAATAGCTTAGTAAGTAATCAACCGAACGATTGAGGAAGGAAGTACCCGTTATTAGTTGATCCCAGTCCCCAGAGGAAAATGAAGGAATTGACTGCGCCATCATACTCGCGCGTTCCCCTTTCCCTTCCTTCACCGTTCTTTCCCTTTCGCCCCTGCTCTGTCTGAACGGCATGCTCGTATTATTCTCCGTCCTTCTCGTATTTTTATCTGCCCAGTCAGACCTATCACCTAGCTATCCACTATACCTACGAGGCGGAGTGTGAGTGTGAGTACGAGTGCCGTGCGCGGTGTACCGAGTTCTGCGATAGTTCAGTGGTACTTGTAACAGCCAGGTACGACCCACTCGCCCACCACTGCGGCGTGTGCCCGACCACCACAGATTCGGAGAGTTGAGTGGTAATCAAGGCTGAAAGCGGCCGCGCCACTCGATGAGACGACCCAATGGGATTCCTCGGGGATATATGAAGACCCGGAGGCAGAGGAGATATAAATATATTTGATCCTGATACTGCAGTACAGTGACTAGCCTAGGTAAGTAGTAAGCGAGCAAGCGAGGAAGCGAGTAAGTAGTAAGTCGCTGTGCGTATGACTGTGTGACTATGTGACTAAGCAAGTGAGCAGGTGAGTAGCACCCAAGTAGGTGCAGTGATCGACCATGCATGGATTCATGCATTCACGCGTGCATGCGTGCAGTGCAGTGCTACGTACGTACTGCAGTGTAGAGTAGATCGCCAGGAAAGGCGGCGCTCCGGCAAACAATTTTATTGCGCATGGAGGACGACGACTGGGGATGGCTCAGCCACAGTTTTCTTCGTATGTGCCACTGCCTTTCTTTCCCGGTGTTTTCATATTTCCAAACTGGTGGTCGTTTCATCTTGAGCCTCTCTCATTGGCCCTCATAAACAGACGCAGACTGCCCGGATGAGGCACTGTCTTCTGGTTGTTGTCAACGTCGCGCCACCGTCATCATTACTCTTTCAAACCAACAACCGACAACCCCCGTTCCTACTTCTCCTTCTCCTCGTCTCTCGCTTTGTGCCGATCTCACAGGGTATACCGATAAAAGGGACTCTTGTCGCCCAAATCCAGCAGCTCCTGCTCGGTGTACTTCGCTTTAATGGCCGCCTCGCCCTCGCGGGCCAACAGCTCGTCCCTCCGCGCGTTCTCACGCCGGTACACCACGCGGAGCACAAACGCGGCGATGATGCCCATGGCGCACATGCCCAGGCTCACACCGAAGCCGGTCGGGTACTTGGGCGCCTGGGCCGCGAAGTAGATGTTGCTGCCGCAGATGCCGCCCATGTTGCCGACGCTGATAAGGAGGGCCATTCCTACAAGGTGTCAAGGTCAGCGTGTTGGCTTGTCTCAATATATTGTGCACCTTTGGGGAGGGAAGAGGGAAGTGATTGTGTTGGAGTAAGATAAAAGGTTGGGAATGAGAGAGAACAAACTCACCGACTGCGCGCTTCGAGGATGGCGCGAGATTGTTGGCCGCCAAGGTCACAACACACGTGAACGGGCAGTAGAGACCCGTGGCCACGAAGAAGAGGAAGAAGTATGACACGCCCGAATACTTGGGGTGTGGGATGGCCAGCTGGGCGATGAAGCCGATGACTCCAATCGCCAAACCGCCCATGATGAACGGAGTTCGCTGATGGACATGGTCGGCCCAGAACGCCACAATCACGGTCGCGATCATCCCAACCACGTAAATCGGGATAGTCATAAGTTGGGCATTCGCGGAACTATAGCCCATTTGCTTGATTACCGACGGCACTGTCGCCGTGAAGCCGTAGGTACCGATGCTGCAGGCCCAGAAGGGGATGACAGCACACCAAACCCTCCAGTCTGCGAAGCCGGCCTTGATATACGCCCAGCTCATCTTGTCGACGTTGGTTACCCGACCTTGGCCCGATCCGGTGTGCAGGGCGATGCGATTGACGACGAACTCGCGCTCTTCTTTGGTGAGGAAACGCGCAGTCTCCGGCTTGTCGGGCAGCAAGAAGTACAAGGTGAAGGACACAGCGACGGGCGCCAGTCCCTCGAGGATGAAGATCCACTTCCACCCCGCGAGGCCGGCGATGCCATCCATCTTCTCAATCGCAAATGCCAGCAGCCCTGAGAATGCGCCGGAGAGAGAGGCTGCTGCGTAAAAGACAGCCATGCGGCGTTGCACCTCGTAGCGGTGATACCAGATGGTGAGCACTAGCAGAGGATACAGGTTAGCATTGTCTATGTAGTTAACTCATTGGTTACCAGGGTGCTTTGTATCGAATCCCCTCTGTCTAGACTTTATTGTAGGCGTGCGGCGGCAAAGGCGAACTCACAGTACGTCGCAGCAGGAAAGAAACCGGCTTCCGTCAGCCCCAGGAAGAATCGAGCAGTCACAAGGCCCTCGTAGGTGGTAACGACCCCCATCAAGGTCATGACAAGACCCCAGAGGAAGCAGAGGATGGAGATCCAGATGGACGGACGGAGCATTTTGAGGACGATATTGGAAGGGACCTATTATCTCCTTAGTATTATATTGTGAACCTCTGATCACTCAGGTCCATACTTCAAACAGTGCATATGGCACGAAGAAGACCGTCAACGCAGTATTGTAGCGCATCCCGTAGAGCTCGAGGTCTTCGTACATGCCTGCGATCTTGGCATTGCCGATGTTGCTTCGGTCGATGTATGCGAGACTGTACTTGGTCAGGATACAGTAGCCCGGCATTCAGAGCTATATCAAACTCACAGGTACAAGACGCCGAGCAGTGGAATGAGGCGGTAGTCGATTTTCCTCAAAATCCTCTGGACTTCCTTCTGGTCGTAGTGAGGCTCGATTTGCTCCGCATCGTAGCCGTCGTCCACGGTACGGAGGGCGTCTGTTCCATTGGTATTGTCGGGAGTATGTATTCCAATCTCCTTCTCGTCAGCGCCGTATTCGAGCCTCTGAGTATGCTGTTTTTCGGTCATTTTTTATAAATCGTTTGGCAAGAGAGACTTTCGCAAAAGCAAACAAAGGGGAGAAAACTCACGAAGAAGACATGATGCCAATCGCCCTCAAGACGCCCCTGGTTTATGAGACTGACGTGCGACGAGGAATATTGGCATGCACCTGGAGCTTCAGGTGTGATGTCCACCGGAGACCAGCTCGACGACTCGGTGCCCAGCTCAGTAGCAGGGGCAGACCTACAACCCACCGGACTTGGGACCTTGAAAGTTTTCTAGAACCAACCGTCAAGACCGTGATCCTGTTCTTGGGACCGACACACTCCAACTGCCGATCTGCTCTTGACGTTGGAAACGGTCCCTTGGCAAATGCAACGTGGGGATTCCATTCTTGGGAATATGCCCAGCATTCGTTTTCTTCCACCGGGGCAGGCACTTGGCGGGCGATCATTCCACCAAAGTGAGCGTTGGAGTCACGTAGTTCGAGGTTGGGAGGGGACCTGCCCTTGTGAAGCGAGAGACACTAGGCACTCACAGCGCATCGGATGATTTTCATAGAGAGTAGTAGTGTGATTTATTGACCTGCTTCAGGCTTGGCCCCTATTCAAGGTCAGCCTGGTGGGGCTGACGCTTGTAGAATAGATGTGGGGTAATTGTCGATATTGCGGAGACAGAACCCGGATCGATGCTTCATTCGGAGGACTACCACTAGATGGTGTAGTCTTGGGAACCCCGTGGTGGCTTTTGGAGAAAGTCAACATCAGACTGTGTATGGAATCTTATGGGCGACAGTTGCCCCAGTCCTTGGCTCTGCTGTACATCAATCTCTTATATAAAATTTGAATAGCATGGGTATGCTTGGTAAAGGCTGGCGGAATCCCCAAGAGGTTGGCTGGTGGACGACGCTTTATATGCCAGTATGGTTGAATGGACTGGTCGATCAAGAATTCCATAACGTGTAGAGAGGGTCGAGCGCAGAAGCTGGAAAATGTGAATGCAGGTCTTAGACGCTGTCATTTGTCCAAGCCTCGCGTACGAACCGAAGCGTGGAAACCGCAAACACATGATCCGGGACGAGCAGAGACAGGAAGAATGTTAGGGAAAATGTCAATCGATTCCACGTACTTAGCCACTGTTCAGCATCCTGGTTTTATCTGTGGATGCATGGCTGAAACTCAACGGGGTGTCGACGCCATCAAAGGTCACGCTTGTCAGAGGAGTATAACAGGTCAACTCCAGCACAAGACCTGAGGAAGAATAGACAACGTTGGTAACACGGAGACCTCATCGCGAGGGACAAGTTGAAGCACGAAGCACGGTGATCATGTTGAAACAGTATGGAATGAACCATGAATAGCCGCATTGTGATCAATGTTTTGTATTGTCGAAAGCACCGGCCACGGGTTTGCACAAGTACTTTTCTCATTCAGTCGCTTAGAGCAAAGCCTTCCGGCAAATCGAGACGACGAACGAGCGCATCTAGGGTCATTCCGAGCCGACCTATCGCTTCTTTTCCATGGACTCCCCAATGCACGAAGAAAGCCCCCTTCGTATCTGCTCACCGTCCCCCCATCAATCAACATTCGGAAGAGGAAAGAACACACTGAGCATTTTCATCAACCCCCTTATGCCGCCGTGATGGCCTTCTGTCTCCGAGCAGCTCGCTGTCTGGTGGACAATCTTGTTCCCTTGGCAACACCCAACTCCTCGGCCTTGGACACGGCCTCCTCAGCTTCCGTCAAGATCAACTCGATGTGGCATGGGTTGGACATGTACGGGTTGATACGGCCGTGGGCACGGTATGTGCGACGTCGCTGCTTCGGTGCTTGGTTGACTTGGATGTGTTTGACGATGAGTTTTGAGGTGTCCAGACCCTTGGTGTCGGCATTGGCCTCGGCGTTCTTGAGCAGACCCAACAGGAACTCAGCCGACTTGACAGGCCAGCGCGCTTTTGAGACACCGAATTGTTTGCCTACGGAGGACAAAAATGTTAGCAAAACTGCATTTAGGATTCGCGCCAGATCGCATAGCAGAAAATCGGTCGTTCATCTAAACTCGTCCCCATCATATTGTGAAAGTTGCGCCCCCAAGGCTCTCGACAGAGTGCGCTTGTAGGAACATTCTCCCAAGAGATGATCCACCATTCTCTTTGCTCTCAGGGTTGGCGTACCTTGTGCGGTCCGTCCAGTGCTACCGGCATATCTTCTCATTGGCACAGCCTCCTTGAGTTGTTTGACATTTTCGAGGTATTGGAGGGCGCGATCGAGTTTCCATCCGTTGATGGCTTGAGCAGTCTCACGGGTGTTTTTGAAACTGACTCGCAGATAACTGCCACGGCTTCGAGCCGAGCGGGCACTGGGAATTCGTTCGGCGGGGGCGTAGCGGACCTAGGTGGCAGAAGTCAGTCATCCGCATAGATTCATTTAATAGATTCATTCTGAGGCAAAGCGAACATACCATCTTGACGGGTGTGGGAGTGAATGAGATGGTCCTAGTTGTTGTTGTCGATTCTACCTCGAAAATGAAGGCCGCACACTACGGGGAAATTTTGGTTGTGGGAAATGCCAAGACTGCGATTCTGCGCACATTGAGAGGGATGTGCGAGGCAACTATTCCGAGTCTTCCTGTGTGACTCGCCTTGGCATGAAATGACGCTAAGCCGTTTTCAGCCTCCAATCCTTCACCTTTTTGACCTTTCGACGTACTCTGGTCCTTGTTCGCACTCCGGTCCCTCGGTTCTGATTCTTGATTGAAGCTCAACTTGATCGTACAGATCGTCCCTTATTCGCTGAGCAGACAGCCCTGTTCACACACAACAGAAGACTCTCTCACACAAGAAACACATATGGGTTAGCCCACAAGCATGCTCCGTCTCCCTCAATTTCCCTCCTTGTCTCTGCTACTGCTAATCCGCATCGGCTCGGGGATCGTAATCACCACCTTCTGTCTCTTCAGTTCCACCTCGAGCCAGCGGAATATGTCTGTACCAATCTTCATCATCTGAGATCTCCTCGTCCTCAACCGCTCTGGCCATGATCTGTGCCTTTGTCTTCTGCTTCTTTTGCTTCAGCACAGGGCGTTCAACTTCTTCGATCGTCTGGACCACTGCCGGGGCGTCTGCTGCATCGTACCAATATTCCGCTTCAGTCACAGAGGTCTCTCTTTCTTCGTCTTCCTCGTCTGTGGACACAAGGGCTGCCCCTGCCAATTGGCTGCCTTTACGCTTAATCGGCGTTGTCTGCGGCTCTGGAATCGCTCCGGCAATAGCATCCTCATATCCAGGATCGCCAGGCCTATACAATTTGCCGTTGATGACTTTTGAACCTGTCGGCCTTCCCCGCTTGGACTCGTTTACTTCGAAATCGGGGAAGTTGGAGGTGTATCTGGAGGCAATTGGGTCAAGCGAGAGTTGTTGGCCATTGAGAATTTTCAGATGCGTCCTCCAAAGTTCCAGAGTATCCTTATCCCGCGTTGTGTCGTATTTGCCGACCTCAAGTCCGTTTATCGTTTGTATATCCAATGCTTCAGCGCGAGTATCCGCCCAGTACCACAGCACAGAGCCCACATCGACCTCTCCCAATCGTTCATCTACCTGCGTACTGTAGACGCGACCATCTTCAATCCCTTTCAAGTCGTAATCCAGGGATGGTTTGATGCCACTTGTCTTACTCTTGGCAGACTTGTGTTGCAGCAATCCCGTCCAGAGCTGCACAGCTGCACCTTCGCACAGTCTTCCAAGAATTTGGTCGTGCGAAATCTCATATCGCTGATGAGCTTCGTGCAAGCGGTACCATGGACCGTAGAGCGCTGAACCTACTGGGCGGAAGACTGTCTTAATCTCGTCTTGAGACACCGCTTCAGCACCACCGGATTGGGAGCTGGCATCCTCAGGTTTGAGCTGGTGATGACGGCTTTGGTCAATAGTGTAGCCTTTGCCCACCAGGGTTATGTAGGATCTCGTCGATAGCAACGGTGAATCTGGGGCGACGTGCTCCGCCTTGATGTCGTCAAGATGAAGTCTGATTGATTCAACAACCAGCACATCAGTGCATCCTTTCCCCTTCTCACGTGGGGCGATTCTGACGGCATCTCCGACCGTGATTAGCTCAGGCCCTATGTAAATACCCTTGCAGCGAATGGTGGCGTAAGGCCAATCTCCCTTAAAGTACCATTTCTCCAGAAGTGAGATACTAGTCATACAAGTCAGAGCATGTTCGATTGATGGGTGCCACTGATTCCTCGGAGTTCCTCGGAGCAACATCTGCCAGTGACTCAAGGGTCGGATATTCCGTAAGGGGAGATAGCGGTATTGTTTGGACATTGTTTTATCCTCCTCATCATTAGGATCCGGAAATGTTTCCACTCGGAAGCCTCCGGTGTTAAGATTGTTCTGCTTAGAGGGAAGGTCTTGGATATCCGGAAAATCGATGGGTCCATCGGTTGCAATAGCAGACGGCACAGCCGTGATAACTCCACCTCTCCAGGTAGGAAAGCCGTGAAAACATTTCTGGGTAAAGGAATAGAACTTGTACTCCTGAGTTTTTTCATCGAGCATGAGGTAGTGCTCATGAAGGAAGATTGGACAAAATAACACAAGTTCTCCGACTCGGGGCACAAAGGCGTGTTGATGCTCGATCAAAGTCAAACTCCGCTGAACATGATCTATCCCAGCCCAGTCTTGAACATTTTGAGTCGTCCAGGAGTGCTCAGCTCTCCAGTCGATGGAGTTGGGTTCTCTAACGTCGTCCTCGATTCCGGTTGTGCCTCCTTTGCTGGCCTCTAGTCTCCTCAATTGGTCTTTAAACACATCTTCCGTCCCTTCTGCGTCCTGAGCGTACGGAGCTCCTGCGGCTTTGATATGGCGCTGCGGACGATTTGAAAAAGACCCAGTCGCACGACCAGCAATGGAAGTTGACCTTGACGAGGATTCGCTTTCAAGCTGGTTTTCCCTTGGGACGAGGAGCTGGTTTTCTGAGTGAATGCGGATTCGACGTTTAATCGGTTCCGCCTTGTAAGAGCCACAGAGTATGCATTCACAGATACCCTGCCTTCCCGACATCAACCAAAGGAAATGTGGCTGAAATCGAAGAATGGAATCGTAGTACTTGCCAGACCAATGGCCAAAGAGCCGCTTATAGGTCACGCCTGTCTTTCCATTCTGATCAATTTCGAACACGGCATAGCCACGGGGGAGGTGGTCGAGATAGTAGTTCAGACCTGTGTTCAATGTCAGAAGGGTTCAACATCCATTTCATTGGTGGTCACGGAGCAAGCACAATTCAACCATCTGACCCAATGACATTGTGAGGTTGAGTAGCAGACGCGACAACATTGCTTACCCGTTCGCTGGATGCCCATCTTCTCTGACCATGCTTTTGCCAGAGTGATCAAGTGCCGTTCTTCAGAACTAGGTCTGTAGGGTTTGGGAGGCCAGGTCCGTTGGTCCGCATCACTGTAGGGCTGGATAGGAAGGACCTGCCACTGACCCTTTCTACCGATTATCTCCCAAGAGGGGTCAGGGCGGGAGGCGTGTTTTCCTGACATCTTAGTAATGAATGAGAGAGAGGCAGGCAATAAAGTGCGAACAGAAAACCATGACGAATGAGAACGAGCGGTAATGAGGATGAAGAATTGTCTGGGGGGAAATGCCGTTTGAAGTGAAATGATAAATCAACCGTGCAGAGCGACTTTCAATGTTTGTTTACACGCGTCAGAAGTGCCTCACCCGCATCTATAAACATCTCTTCTTGAGGACAGAGACATTCTCAAAACTGTGTAGAGAAACTTGAAAATGAGAGTCTCGATTGACATGATTCACGAAACACGAAATATAGGGAAATTCACCTAGTTTGATTTACAAGCGATAAAACTTTACATGTACATATACAGCATACCATCGTTATTTCCCTCCCTCTGCTCCTGGTATCAAAGTCCGCTCCAGCTTGATCTGGAATCTCCGTCTACCCTTCGCAAGAAAACCATTGAGTCCGTCATTTTCCATGTCATAATATAGCTGCCATTGTCGCGTGGAGGTGTCTTCGACAGCCACAAAGGCCTCGCTTTCATCAAAAGTTATGCGTTGTTCGTCTTCTGTCCAATCCCACGGTCCGACATGGTGCTCTATACTGGCTGATTTATTGCCATATTTCAGCTCCATCGTATCTTTGTCCACGTATATCCAGTTCAACAGCGGAGGATCGTCTCGAACTTGGCTAACAAGGCCCATGGGAACGGGGACTCTCTAGAACAAAGCCATCAGTCTGGGAAATTCACATAGCACGACTTTGGGTTGATTTGGGGTCACTTACCTCGTTGTCTGGATACTCGATGTAGAACGCTTCGGCGACATATCCTTCTTTGCACGGATTCAAAGCTTCATGCGGCCCTATCCACACACGGTCATCTCTCAGAACGAGTCTCTTCTCGTGGATTTCACGTATCCGAGAGTTCTGGGCTTCACAGCTGACGTCGATGTAGAATTTTTGCATGCGCCTTGCATCCTTCTCGCGCTCCTTGTGCTTCTTCTGGCCATGAATAGCTTGAGCGACACCTGTGACGGTGGGAATCGAGGTGAGGATGAGAAGTCCGATGACCATGTTTCGGCAAGGGGCGCGGCTTCAAATGGGCAATGAGAGGCTTCTGAGAGTCTCTAAGTCATCAGTTAGACGTTCTTCGAGCATTTCGACCTTTGTGTCTCAAGTCTCGTTGTTGTTAAGAAACATCAAGGTGCACGCAGTCGCCACAATGTTGATGTGGAGGGGCGTCCGCATGTGCGTCAGTCATTGCCGCGTCACTTTCCCTCTGTCTCATTCGGCCCCAATTCCCCGCCACTGACCTGGCATCGCCCACTTTGCTATGCAACTATGGTCGCAATTCTCGCCCATGGTCATGGTGCTCTTGTCCCCAGTACATCCTTCCCTAGCCGAATTCGACACGCGCAGCGTCGCTAACCGATCTGGAACTTGGGCCGCGCGAGATGGCTGATCAACCGCAGGAGTCATCTCGGGACAACCTTCTCTACGTCGCAGAGAAGACCCTTTGGCACCTACAGTTTCTGAGTACCTGGGTGCAGGATGACTGGTCTACCTCACCTAGCAAAAGAACTCCCCATTCCCTCGGTCGAAGTTACAGCCCCTACTTTTGAGCAACATCATTCTGGTTTTGGTGTCCAATTTTGCAGACCTAGAATCTCCTGGCGGTTTTGTACCACAAACGACCATGTCTATGGTTGGGTCCAGACAGCCTATCAGCTTGAAATCCGTCCTGTAAGCGGCGGTGAGACTGAGTTATACCATGTCGACAGTTCGGTATCAGTACTCGTACCATGGCCTCCCCTTTGCAGCGCTTTGAAATCCAGGGAGCAACGGAAGGTTCGTGTCCGGTGCTATGGTATGTATGGTCAAGATGAAGGGAATACCTCGCGAAAGGTAATAGAACTCTCAAATTGGTCAGACTGGAGCATGGTCGAGGCTGCTCTGCTTGACAGCCATGACTGGGCGGCCAGCATGATCACAATCAAGGATTCTGTCCTCTTGAACGATAATGGATCAGCCCGTCCATTGATTTTTCGAAAACGGTTCTTCTTACCCTCCAACAGGACAATCAAAATGGCCCGACTATATGCCACCAGCCATGGAGTCTACTTTGCACGTCTCAATAACAAGTCAACCGGAGACGAATGTATGGCACCAGGTTGGCAGAGTTATAACAAGCGTCTCCACTATCAAGTTCATGATGTTGGGAGCCTCCTTCTGCCTGGTGTTGAAAACGTCCTTCTGCTCGATGTGGGACCTGGGTGGTTCGCATCAGCCTTGTCCTGGGTCTGTCGAAGATTTGTTTACGGCACCGAGCTTGGGATTCTGGCACAACTAGAAGTGCAATTCGACGGAACTGATGAGCCGTTCATTGTCTGTACTGACTCTTCCTGGACGGCCACCACTTCAGCTATTCTGAGTAGTGAGATCTACAATGGGGAAGTCTATAACCAGCAACGAGCCATAGAGATAGGTCGGGCACATGATGAGCTGTCCCTGGTCACATGGAGTGAGACAAGAGTCTCAAACATCGCTGTTGCACCTCTGACCTCGCCCAACGGGCCACCAGTACGAGTAACGGAACGCCTTCGACCGAAGTCATTTTCGAAATCTGCATCTGGTAAAACCATCATTGATTTCGGACAAAATATCGCCGGTCGACTGTGCATCAGGCGTCTCCTCAAGCCTGCGGGACACAAAGTCACATTCCGCCACGCAGAAGTAGTTGAAAACGACGAGCTGGGCACAGGTCCGTTGCGCACAGCGGAAGCGAAAGACACAGTGATATGTGCAGGAACAGTCTTGACAGACTGGCACCCCAACTTCACGTTTCATGGGTTTCGATTCGTCGAAGTATCGGGTTGGTCTGAACACGACGCTGAGACGCCCTTGACCAAGGACAGTGTCGTTGCGGAAGTGATGCATTCTGACATGCGAAGAACGGGTTGGTTCTCCTGCTCCAATGATGAGGTTAATCAACTACACAAAAACACGGTGTGGAGTATGAGGGGGAACTTCCTCAGCGTACCGACTGAATGTCCTTCTAGAGATGAGAGACTGGGATGGACAGGTGATTTGAATCTCTTTGCACCAACTGCCACCTTTCTCTATGATACTGGAGGGATTCTGGGAGATTGGCTACAGGATTTGTATGCCGATCAAATGGACAACCACAAGAACTGGAAGCAAGGAATGGTACCGCTCTATGTCCCAAATTGTCTGACAGGACTTGGCCCTGAAGATGACGGCTGGCATCACATGCAGAATGGAGTTTGGGGGGACGCCGCAGTCATGGTACCATTCCAGCTCTACATGATGACAAAAGATATCAATATTCTGTCGCGTCAATATGATAGCATGAAGCAGTACCTTGAAAAGGGTGTCCGGCGCGGTGAAGATGGTCTTTGGGATCCCTATCAATGGCAGTTTGGCGACTGGTTGGACCCCTCTGCGCCGCCCAATAACTCGGGAAGAGGTCGGACAGATGGTACCTTTGTCGCAGACTGTTTCCTGATTGAGTCGACGGAGAGAATGGCCTTCATCGCCGAAGAGCTTCAGAAATCGGACGATTTTTCTGACTTTAGTGCTGCTCACTCCCAGCTATTAATGGCTTTTCAAGCGAAATATGTGACACCAGCAGGACTTCTGGCCCCTGACACGCCCACAGCACATGCGCTCGCCATCGCCTTTGACCTCTTGCCTTCCGACGAGAGATCTCATTTCGTGGCCAGTGAACAAGCAACAGCCGCGCGCCTCTCCCGTGCCCTTCGCTCTGACGACTTCTGCATCTCAACCGGCTTTGTCGGCACCGCCTTTCTGCTCCCCAGCCTCACAAAGTCCTACCAGGACACGCTGGCTTACCAAATGCTTCTTTCACGATCCACTCCCTCATTGCTCTATCCAGTCCGCATGGGCGCAACGACAATATGGGAGCGTTGGGATAGTCTTAAGCCTGATGGCCATATCAACGAAGCCAGCATGACAAGTTTTAATCATCACGCGCTGGGGTCTGTCACAAGTTGGTTGCACGAGAGCGTTGGTGGGATCAAGGCCGACAGGCCTGGTTGGAAAAACATCCTGATTGAGCCGTGCGTTAATCGGATGCTCTCGTATGCTGAAATCATCTACGAGTCTGTCTATGGACGCATAGAATGTCGCTGGAAGCTGGATGGCAACACATTCAGCATGGACGTTACGGTGCCCCCAAACGCTCACGCCTGCATTGTTTTGCCTGAAGTGCGTGATAAACGAGCTCAAGGTTTGGAAGTTGATGGTTACTGGGTGGGTTCCGGGCGATATCATTTCAAAAGCGAGTATACACGAGCTGATCATCCTGTCGAACCCATCCTTCCTCCCTGGGGAAGGTCGAGTTTCTGATATCGACAGCTTGATCGTTCAGTCTGGGTTTCACAAGCTTCTGTGTCTGAACCTTTGTCAATGATACCACGCCGCCAAATTTAACGCGAGCACTCAGACTCAGCACACCGTCAATACCTAGAGCTACTAGTTTATCCCTGCACCTCTGGACATGCGCGGTGGCTTGTGACCTAGTAATACGGTCAGGGACTCGCCGCAAGCCTGCTAGATGTATAATTTGATAAATGAAGCATATTCGCCGAATACCTCGGGGCGTGAATCAAGCATCGTTGACATTTGAAGAGAGCGCTCTCGTACTCACAGGAATGCTGAAAAGTGGTAGAAGGGGACGAGGGTTGTTCGGTCCCGGAAAATATATACTCCGAGTTCTTGGCATCAAACCCAAAATCTCGCCGTCTTCGAAGCTTTTGATGCTTTGATCAGGACAAGCAAGTTTCAGAACCCACCACAACAGGCGTCAGTCTCACCCGTGTATCGCGACACCTCCTGTCTGTATTGAATAGGATTTAGTGGTTCCCAATCGTTCGGACAAGCCATGGATGCTCTCAAACTGCTATCCCGCTCAACAGGCCTGAAATCAAAAATTTCGAGACCGTCGCCACAAAATATCCCTTCTGCATCAGGACAAGCACCCATTCAGGATGCAACAGAGTCTATCGCTAGCCGAAAACGGAAGAGAGAGCCGGGTCAGGCAGATCGTGATGGTACCCATGCGACAACGTCTACACAACTGTCCGAACAGGAAATCCGCCAACTCCACAAGAAACACAAAATCAAGATTGTGGATTTGAACCGCTTCCGTTCCTTGGGTAGGTCGTCGGAGTCAAGAAAGGCGCAAAAAGAACAGTCGCGCGTCTTTCCTCAGCCGCTTACATCTTTCGACCAACTGCGTGCGACTTATGAAATCAACGCGACTCTGGCACGAAACATATCAGACCAGGCATATTTCGAGCCGACCGAGGTTCAAATCGCCACCCTTCCACTGCTATTAGAGGGTTTGGATGAACAACGAAATGCCGAGCCTGATCTCTTGACCATTGCGCCAACAGGAAGCGGCAAAACTCTTGCTTTCCTTATTCCATTAATCGAGAAGATTTCGAGGGCTCATCGACACTCTGGGCCCACTGTTGACAGACATATTCGTGCCATCATTCTGGCTCCTACAAAGGAATTGGTCTTCCAGATAGTCAACGAGGGGAGGAAATTGACAACCAAGACGGGTGTGACGATTACAGCAGCAAAGAAAGGGATGAGACTTTTTGAAGAATTAGCACCTTCAAGTGCAGAGGAGTCTGAAGAAGAGGCAGAGGCGGATCAAAGTGAGGATGAAAGCGGACCTGTCATGCGCTCGGCTCTCGTCAAGACCGACATTCTTGTCTCAACACCACTCAGCCTCGTACATCTTCTTTGTCCATCTTGGGAAGAAGACGGAGACTCATCTCCGCAATCTTTACCCGAAGTTGAAACCCTGATATTTGATGAGGCAGATGTTCTTCTTGATCCGCTCTTCCGATCTCAAACGCTTGCTGTTTGGTCTGCATGCACTTCACCTTCATTGAGGGTGAGCATGTGGTCGGCAACCATTGGAGCTAGTATCGAGGAGCTCGCGGTACAGACCATTTCGGACCGCCAAAGAAACCTCGAACTGTCTCGGAGTCAATATCCATTACTGATTCGGACCATTATCGGCTTGAAAGATACGAGCTTGCCAACAATTTCACATCGACTGGTATACACCGCGACAGAATCCGGAAAGCTCCTCGGCATGCGTCAACTACTTCATCCAGCACGGTCGATATCGACTTCGAAACGCCAAGGCACCGACACTGCGCCTCCCCGCCCACCATTTCTGGTCTTCACACAGACGGTCGACCGCGCGCAAGCATTGTACAACGAACTTCAATATGACATTCCAGCCCAGGCGGGTGGTTCATCCCGAGTGGCAGTACTCCATGCTTCTCTGTCACAGCGTGCCCGGGCATCTGTCATGGAAGGGTTTCGGCAAGGGAAAATATGGGTCTTGATCACTACGGACCTTCTGTCGCGTGGTGTGGATTTTCGAGGAGTCAACGTGGTCGTAAACTACGATATCCCGACCACTGTTGCCGGGTATGTGCATCGCGCAGGAAGGACGGGGAGAGGTGGGAGAGAAGGAGGTGTCTGTGTCAGCTTCTACACCAAAGAGGATATTCAATACGTGAAGGGCATAGCGAACGTGATTGCTGCCAGTCAGAAGACCAACAAGGACTCGCACGAGGCCGAAAATAAGGAGCTGGCTTCATCCACGACTTCGGGAATTCAGCCTTGGTTACTTCACGCTCTACCTAGCGTCTCTAAGTCAGCAAGGAAGGACCTCAGATTGCATGGTGTCAAGGCCCGTCGCGCTATTCATGCCGATGATGACGAGAAAACCAAAAGGATGAAGCGAAAGGCCAGGATTGGAACACAGAGCGGTTACGAGAGAAGGGAAACGAACCGCAAGCGGGACGCTGTCAAAGAAAGTCTACGAGCAAAGAGGCAGGTGCACAGTCCGCAGGAGAAGGGAGAATGGGCAGGCTTTGAGTGAGATTGCCATTAGGGGAATGTGTTGGGAAGAGTTGGCAATTGGCACGTTCCGGTGTCTTGGGCCGTAGACACGGACTTGTTTTGCGTACCACATTGTATCGAGTGGATTTCTTCTCGGTGGCCTAAATTCGCCCGATGTTCGGTCGATACTACTTGAGCCAGCTATGCAAACGAACACAGACAACAAGTTGTCGGTCATCAAGACCGGATATGGCACAAATGCGAGACAGCCGTGGTATGTCAATATCAAGCCTCGCGACACGTAATCACAACGCACGACTATCATAGCATTTTCGGTGCAGAGAACAGCTGATGTTCGAGGATCTAGAACGCTCTAGCTTTGGTCGAGACAACAGCCCTGCAGCAATGCAGTGTTAGGGGTGGCTTCGCCTGTGGCGCTGGTGGGACAGGTCCGATTGAGTACCTGTACGACTACCAAGTACTCGTCGAGTCATTGCAAGCCGAGATCAAAAGCCGACGTCGCTCCCTTGAGCCCTTGAACTCGTATGTGGCGGCATCGGAAACGACAACAAACGCCAAATCGTTCTGCCACACGGCATCCAAGATCCGAGCCGCAAGAGAAGAAGCCTCCCGTGCTCTCCACTTCATCAACGTCGAAATTTTCTTGTCCCACATGCAGCTCACCTCACACGTGCCTCCGGCCGGAAGAGCCCATGGCACCCTGACCAGACAACACCACTACGGAGTACGTGTATTCGAGTCATTTACCGAGTTTCCTTGCTTGAGTAGCCGTGTCAGAGCGAGTGCAATACTCCGAGCGGGTGGTTCCGTCGTCCCGTTGATTAGTGTTCCCGACAGATCTCTCGTGGTGTCGGTGGATCAGGTGGCATGCATGGGCATCACCTCAGCAAAAATGGCGTGGTCAGCGCCGCCAAATCTCGCATCGGAGAAACGTTGGCCATGAGGTCAATTCCAGGACAGAGGTCACCAAGGTCAGAAGCTGGCCTTGAAATCGGAATGCTCTCCGCGCGAAACACGGAACCAGGAGCGATCATGCTCATTTATCCTTGGATGCTGTATTGGACTTGCGGTACCGATCACCTTCGACAAAGCACAGCATTGAGTTGATCGTGGCTACTGCTGAGCATCTGACCTTTGCTCGAGTCAACAATGAATATGAGGTACGAGGTACTTCCGTGCCAACTCCGACAAGAAGCCCTGTGGCGTGAGTTGACCTGACCTACTCTGCTCTGACCTGACGCCTCCTTTTCCGGGACCATTGTGCGATGTGATGTGATCGGTACCGCTTCGCGATCTTATATCCTTGGATTATGACCTTGCGGAGCCAAACGGACTCGCGGCTCCGCGCAGCAATACTTTTCCTCGTCTTTGTCCTTGTCCTTTCCATGTCCGAAGTTTGGGCTGTTTTCCGTCACTGCCGAGTACAATTCAAGATACTCGGCGATATGTGCGCAATACCTACCATTCTGTAGACAACTTACTCGCGCGAGAGCTTGAAGCATACTGGAACATTTGTTCAAGTCCGTTCGATCTCCGCGAGCAATGCCAGTCTCGGTCAGGTTTCCGTTCTCCTTCTTATTGTCATTTGCACGTTTTACGCTTGGGCTTGTACATTTAATGGTAGTTACGATAGACCATGATAGTTTCCTACTCCTTCTTCACTGTAATTGTTCGCATCGTGAACTTGATCTCGAACTTGATCTCTTTGAAATAGACCTCCCCAGTGATATACAAGTACATACAAGAAGTCTATCGTGTTCAAGGATCGTATCATCCGCGTGACGACAAGTTACTTTGGTATCTCCGCCCGCTGATGCTCGGGGGATGTATACCATACCTCATGCGCGAGTGAGCGAGTACCTAAATTGAGTGAGTGCATGAGTGAGTGACAGCTCCGAAATACCGGAGCGACGCAGTAAATTCGGATCGTCTCTACTCTCATCTGGCCTACAAGTATAGGAGTATACAGTTCCTTGCGAAAAGCCAACGGCGTGAGAGAGCCTCGCATGGGCTTGGGGTACGGATGTAGGACATTTCTCGGAGACATCAGGTCCAGTTCAAGGGCAAGGCCAAAGACACGGACCGAGTACCCAGTACCAAGTACCCCCGTACCAAGCACAACTAACTACTGGTACTAAGGACCTAGCCAACTAGCATACAAGTATGTCTGGGCAAGCAGCAAACAGGTGACAATTGATAATGTACAAGTAATCGACGGCGGCCACATGCCGGGTTCTAGACCCGAGTCCATCTTGCTTATTCACTCGCGACCAAGTACCACAGTCCCTACTCGTTCGCGAGACAAGCCGTCGGTATACCTGTGTTTGTACTGGCTGACTGGGCTGTACTCACACTCGGAGGTAGGTACGTAAGCCCGGAAAGAGATTTCCGTCGACATCGTTCCCTCCCCCTATCGTTATTGCTTGCTGATTTAGGTAGATCTCGATTCGATTCAGATCTGACCACGTTTTGTCAGGCCTCAATCATCAGACATCAACATCAGCATCAGCAAAAATGCAGATTCCGCTTCCGCTCCCGCTTCAGCTTCAGCTGACAAACGCGGTCCTTTTTTTCGCTCACAACATCCCCGAAGTACCCTCAGAAGATGGATGGATCGAGCTTCGAGCAAAGTACGGAGTACGGAGTACGGAGAACGGAGTGACGAGATGAAAGAGACGGAATATTTTCCAGTATTCCATGGATCATCTGTCCGAGACTTGCTCGTCGAGTCGAGCAATGGTGTGACAAAGGGCACCACGGTTCCGCATACTTGTCCTTGGATACGACCGCTACCACTGCCCCTTCCGCTATCATTACTCGCACGGAGCGGAGGGTGTGCTCCGCTGTCCATAATCACCCATGCGGACGGGGTATACTCGGTACGGCATTGACTGAGTGTCGCCCTGGGCGGTCTAATATCGGATTGAGAATACCCACCACTCGAGCCCGAAGTCACACCACGCCTAGCAGGGCGAGCATCTTTACGGACAGAGTGAAAAATGTCGCGTCCTGCGAAGTTCGTCCGGATACTTGTCCTTGTACAGTAGGTCAAGTTGAATATTGCGTCGGACCTCTCCGAAGCATGTCCGTTCAGCGTCTCCCTGGCACGGAGGATTCCTCATCGCAGTCCTTGCGGAGAAGAGACGGAGCATCGTGCCGCGAAGAGGTTCGGAGCTGCTGGTAGGTGTTGTGAGACCTGTATGAGTTATTATTACCCCGTCTGCTCGTCAGTCACACTTTGAACCATGGATATCCCATTTCCGGCGACGGCACTCTTTGGTGTCTTGGACATTGAAAATGCGGCACATACTTACATGTCGGAATGAGTTACGGGAGATCGACCTCGACAAACACAAGAGCACGGCAATGGGTCAGTCCATGACCTGCAGCTGATGTGCTCAATGTCTTGCATGACGATTTTGTATCGGCGCGATGACGAAGATGCAACAATGGTAATGAGCTCGCTGGTAGGTATCGAGGCAGCTTGGACGCTTCGGAAACAACCCTGCCGTGACGAGTGATCACTACTCAAACTTGCGAAGTTGCGCATTGATATTCACTTGTCGACGACACACTGAGGAGGACACTCCTTCATCTAGATGTAACTAAGACTGTCGACTGCCAAATGGTTGTGGACGTGGACGTGGCGGTGTGGGTTTGCTCCGCAAGAACTATATCGATGGTTCTGTCTCGGTTGGCAATCCTTCCAAAGCACAAGAGTTGAGAAGGCGAACGACAGTACAGGTCACCATCAGAAGAGGCTTAGGGAATCGGGCTATGCCTAAATAAGTCTTCGGATCTCACTGGACACTTGCTTGCACAGTTTGACATTCTCTAGATATCGACCGTCGTTAGAGGTTGCAAGAGATTTTGCATTCGATAGAGATGCAGAACAGAAGCACCCGAGGAATCAGTCCCTTCCATCCACGACTTGGTTTCCTTTTCTTTTTCTTTTCGCAGTTCTCTTTTTTAGTGTCGAGTGACATCGGCCTACAGCATACGTACCAAACCCCACACTCCTCCTCCACGCTGCCTGCGTCTTTGTACTCGTATGGGGCACCTTCGTTAACCGAGTTCTTGGATGCAACTAGATAACTCGTAGACACTCGGATCTGGCTGGCCAGTTCTAGGTCGGTTAGCGCAGGCCTTTATGTAGGTAGCTGGGCTCAATTCTTGGTGGATAGCAGCCTGGAAAAGGAAGTCACTGGGCGGGACACTTGGGAATAGCAAATGGAGCCGGAATTCAGAGTCCGTCTCTTCTCCCCCTCTCCAGAATTTTCTGCATGCTCAGTGACCCACTGGTGGAAGAGACATTCTAGCGCTGGTGATGGGGTGGTGTTGGCGGGAGAAAAAGACAAAGCAGAAAAAGATAAAGAAAAAGAAAAAGAAAATTCACGATGAAGAAAAATTCGTTGTAGGCATGCGAAAGAAGAAAATTTGGTCGCTTGTAGGTAGACTTGCAGAGGGGGTTGGCTAGCCTGACGTGCCTGGACGGCCGCTAAACTAATCTCATCCGCGTCCTCGTCTGAGGGACTGCGATCCCTACAGGTGACTGACCCAAGCACTTACTGTAGCACCCGCAGCAAACCAAAAGCTCAGTGAGCGACCGCCCCTCCAGCGGAGCCCACAGCACCTCCGCAGGGGCCTACCCACTCTGCCTTGACTAAATACCTCCGTGTCGGCGTACTGCAGGCTAAAAGGTTACCTACAAGTAGTCAGCTAGCTGCGCTTGCTCCGTACCTAGGTACGCTTAGGCTTCTCAGAGACACGGCTGGTAACGCTGGTGCCGCTGCTGCGGGGCATGTAGGTCATCGTCGGCTACTTCTTAGGTACATATCTAGGCTCACTAGGCCTCCCAAGCAGCGCTTGAATCTGGCACAGAGTACTCTTGGTACCGAGTAGGTACATACGAATACGAAAAAGCAACTTCTTAACAAATAGCGGGATCTGGTGGTGCTGCGCATGCAACTCTACGAATAACATGTTCCCTGCTCAAAATGCACTTTTTCTTCCCTTTGGTCATGTGGAATCCATAGTCACGATGCTAGCTGGACCTAAGAATCTGTCTTCTTTCCTGTCCAGATTGCTTGTGCTACCATCTGTCTCGAATACACTGCGAGGGGCGCATGCACACAAATGGTTCAACCGTCAATTGACGCCTGTTGATCCATACCTACCCCAAGTGTCCTTGTCCCTTGTCCTTGTCCTTGTCCTACCTACCTACATGTGAAAGTGATACGAGGGGTTCAACCCCGGATACCACCGCCGCGGGGCCTCTACCGACTTCTTCGATCTCTCTCCCGAGATAGCCCTACCCAACGTAGCGCATGTCACACCACGACCGGAACAGTTTTTCTCCAATTCTTTTTCGCGCGGAGAATGATTTACTTACACATGACATGCACGGACAAATAAACAAGTATTAAGTACGTGGTATAGCAAGGAAAGAGAAAGATGGAATTAATGTCGTCATCAAATCGTATCACACTACTTGTGCGAGCATGAGCATGAGCACGATACAAGAACATGGACAAGGAAGGAGACAACCCGGTAATGCGACCCGGGTATTCTCGATTCTTGCTACCCATACCAGCTGGACGTCTTCTTGTGGCATGCCATGCCATGTGACTGCCGCCGAGAGGCATCATCGTCCTCGTCCTCGTCCTCGTAGCATCAGACTACCTATACCTGTCCTCGGTGCTTGTTCCGCCGAGAGGAATCTCCCAAGGATATACCAAGTCCTTGTACGGTAGTTCGTCTATTCTCGTCGTCGTGACCGTCTTCGTCTTCGGGCGGAGGAGGGATCCCCATTAAACTGCGCACACGCATACCATGGGCAAGTGCCGCTGACCTGTAGCTGTACTCACCCTACCAGATCCACTTCAAGAACCCTGACCTCTCGTGCCCTCCCTGAACATGACTACAAGTCCTTGTACTTGGGCCTCAACACGGAAAGGACGAAGCTTATCCCTCTCCTTCTCCTTCGGGTCGCGATCGCAACCTCGCCGTCGTCGATCTAGACCCCCATCCCCATCCTGTGATCAATGCTCGCTTGCGTACCGCAAGGTCGTTCTTCTCCGGCTGGCTTTCGTTAGACATCTATTTGTACTCGGTACTTGTATTCGTCTCGGTCAAGTAGTCAAGCGTACGAGACAACGTGATGAAAAACATCCAAAAACCGTGGGATGAATGGTAGGAGAACAGCGGAGAACAATCAGCACGTGCTTGAATCGTATGCTTCATCATATATCTGTATCTCATTAAGCCCTGTTCAGCTCTGATATCGTATCACGCCATCTCGTCGTCGGCTGGCCTCGAAGCTTCTTCGCATCCGTGGCCTCGCCTCGCCCAGCCTCAGCTGGTCCTTTTCCTCATCCTCGGTGACTTCCTCACCGCAGCCACAGAGCCACTCCTTTCCTTCTCTATCCGTCCCGAGCTCGTCCCCGTTCCGCACAACCCCAGTCCAGAAACACCGCATAACGAATCACTCCGTCCTTTCGAGGAACTGTACGCCTTGAGGACCGCCGTCTCCAGCGGCAACGAAGACGGGTGGCACTCTTCGATGAGCATGGCCAGGTCCGGTGCCCGGGTCGCCAGGCATTGTAGTCGCACCAGTGCCTGCCGCTGCCGTCGACGCATCGTATATGATGATAATGCCTGTGCTTCGAGAGACAACGAGGGCCGAGGTGAGGATGTAGCCACCATCGTGTCTGACATTGAAAGATCCCACAGTGTCGGGTCGACTTCAGTAGATTCGTACGACAATTCCGACACCGTCGTAGCGGGTGTATCTGGTCCTTCACAGTATCCTTCATCATCCAGCGTCGTAGAGTCCGAGGGCGAAGCCATGTCACTGGGGGGTGGTGAGGGGGAATGCATCTCGGTGTCGGTCAGCGCGTGGGACTGCAGCTGGGCTGTCAACGAGGTGATAGAGGGATGGCGAGGCGCTGATCTATAGGCGTCAAAGCGAGAGTCTCGGCGAGGGGCAGGCCCTTGTGAGGAATGCGGTGATGAACATCGCGAGGTAAAAGGAGAGATCTCTGCCGACGTACACTCTTCAATGTTGAAGGTGAGCGAGCTTGGGTGCGGGGATGATCCGAAGGAAAAGTTCTCGTTGAACATGTTGGACTGATATCGAGTATATGGACGGCGCAGGTACGATACCGATCACCGCAACGGTAGCGGATTTGTGAGCAACAAGAGAATGGAATTGCTCTCCAAGATCGTAGAGAGCACTGACGACGGCCAGGCGAAGGTGGTCAATGTACTTGTATGGTAGTGTCTGGTGTGACTGAGGTGGATTTCGCCGCTCGGCGGGCTTTAGGCTTCAGGCTTCAGGTCCCTCGTCTCTCGTCCCAATAAACTCTGTCCAGAAGAAGCCGCAACGGAATCAAGTGAACCGTGGGGTAAGTCTTAAATGTTGAGCATGAGGACTCCAAAACTTTGCCCTTTCCATCCGAGGCTTTTAAGGTAGTGGCACTGCGTGAGACTGAAGTATTGCCCTCCGCCGCGATGCCGGACTGAGGGGAGATGTTGTCGCAAATCGGATACGCGCTCTGGACTGGGGTAACCACAGGGTGGATCGAGGTGGTGAAAATCCAAGGGCCCCCTTGAGAGCCACCTTGGAGTGGATTTGTTCGCTAAAACTCGTGGGTGCCATCGTGCCTTGAGCGAAAGAAGGACCGAAGCTTCAATCGACCCAAGGTTGCGTGCCTCTTTGGTGGCCTCTTTGGTGCCCCTCCGCCTAATACGCCTAATCGAAGGGGCGATCGGATGGCACGTTTCCGTGTGCGGCAAGTCTTAGACCAGGTGTGGTCTGAATGCATCAAAGGGGGCCCGCCAACCCACTTCATGACAGGAAGAGGCGTGCCTTGTCACCTCGTCTGCGACTCCAAATACGAGTTTGTCCGCTCGGCCCTGGCCCCTGGTCCATTTTGCCATTCTGTGATTTTGCTTTGCCGAGTGCCCGCTAGAAGCGCCCAGACGGGCCAAACAGCCCCAACTAGGCGTCGGCATGCCACAAGGGGGAGTGTTGCCCAAGACTCCGCCTAAGCAGATCCTTCACCTTGCCTGGAGGTGCCTTGTGGTGCCTGTGGTGCGGGTTGCGACGTTGTGCCGTCATCGTTCATTCTCGACCCTTGTAAGGTGATCAGCTGAAAATCATTTCCCTGCTGTCGCTATCTTTTGCTCTCGGTTGTCGATAACGGTTCCGTCTAACTGGTCCCTGCAGGATGTTCCTTGTTGCGGCAAAGTCATCGGTGGCAACAAAAGGCGCTGGAGCCGTGTTTGTTTTATCGTCAAATTGCCACCTCGTTGTAACTGTGTGTCTGTGGTGCCATTGCCGTAGGGCAAGCCAAGGTCTACACGCAATCTCGGCGCGCTCTCGGCTCGAGAACAGATAGATGCTGCCGTCACCATATCATTGGTATCTGGTAATTCACCAGGAAGCAAATCCACGTGATGGAATTTGCCGTGTACATTGGACTACAATACATCCGTTTGTCCAGTCCCAGTGGACCCCATTTTACGTGTATGCTGAATGGCGTCTCCCGGCCCAGAGATGCGCTCAATTCGGCCATTTGATGTGCGTTGGTTTGAGAAAGGTGTCCGTTGATGTATTCTTTGGTGGAATAGAGCAGAGGTGAAACGTTGCAGATCTCAAAACAGGTGTCGTCAAGCGGAGATTTGCCTAAAAGGAAGAAGTCCGAATAGAGCTCCTGCAAGTCGCTCATAAACTCGTCCAACACGTCGTCCACGGTGCTGCTGGTTGTCGATGTGTGAGATGCATTCGACCTTGCAACCGGGCTCATCTTCGGCTTCGAGCTGGATGTGTTTCTGGGCGACGATCTTCTGCTCCTTTCCTCATTCGCCAAATTCAGCCAAATATCCTCCGACATCTCGTCGTGCTTGGGTGGTCTTGTCGCCGTATCCCGGTCGTTGGGTAACATGCAACCACCAAGGAGATCTTCGGCAGAGAGTTTGTAGCTGCGCCCGACCCAACTCAGGTCTCTCCGATCTTGCAATGGTGTTTGCACTCCACTGTCTATTGTGGACGTTTCGAGCTCATGGTCGAGTTCAGGAAGTGACGCCGTGTCATTAATGAATTGCGTGACATCAATCAGGCAAGCTAGCATGAAACGGCTGCGGCCACTGCTGGGAATGATCAGGGGTGTGAACAACACAAGATGTGTGACTGGGTCCCCTGCTGCATCTTGACCGGTCACAATGTCCATTGAAGCACCTTCGCATTCACAGTTGTTCAGGAAGAAGTGTTCGCCCACGTCGAAGATATAGCGAAGTTCTTTGGATGTGGCGACAACGGGAAGTCCGGTCACCGCGGTGTCGAGGATACAAAATGATTTGAAGTGCTCTACCAATCTGAGGCCGGTTGGGTCGTCGGTGTGGTTTCCTGAGTCCGCTACGGAGACAGAACTTGTTGTAGGTGAGTGCAGCCACGAGACATGCTTGGTTCGAGCCCTGGCCGCCGGTGCTGGGGGCTTCTTATATGAAGCCGCACCCGCTTTCGACGGGACAAGCGACTCACGCGACTCCTGGATTCTCAAAGTTGAGGCACTGGAAACAGTCGATAGGGTCGAGAAACTGGCCATACTCGCCTGCCGACTCGTAACCGATAGCAACGAGGGCGACATGGCCTCGTGGACAGTTCTTTGGGGTCCCGTGAGTGGCTGAAGGTAAGATTTATGGAGGTTGAATTGGCTGAGGCTCGTGGCTGGAAGTAGTGACTGTCGTCCATGTCGTCTGCGAGGCGACACATGGATGGAGGAATCAAATCGATTTGGAATGGTGTGCGAAACGGTGAACTCTTCCAGGCTAGGTCGACTCCCGGGAGGTTCGAGTGAGGAGAATGTGACCGTCGACGGGAAAAAGGACGCCGATGACTCTCCCCGACGCAATATACCAGAACCGAGAGTGGGTGTACCAGCTGGCGGTTCGGGAGATTTCCGTAGAGTTCGGAGAAAGACATCTTTGAGACCCTGCTTCAGCGATCGCCGTGGAGGATTCGGTGGAGGGTGTGGAGGAGGTTGAGGCGGTTGAGACGATGCTTGCCGATGTTTACCCACCATGATGTGAGCTCGTCGTTGCCTCTGATGTTGTCGTTGACCTGTTCAGGTTGGCAGGTGAGCGACCGGCGTTCGGATTTTCTATTCTTGCGGACAGCGACTGCGTTGACCGAGATCCAACCAAGTAAGACTTGGGGTGAATGTGAGAAGAGTCTGATGACAACTCAATGGAAGAGGATCAACAGTGATGACCTAGCACACACGGCGACAAGCAGATACCCGTGTTCAATCCTACGCCATCTCACAAGCTGAGAAGCGCCCGGCAGAAAAAGGACAAAGAAGCCACCACCCAGGCATGAATACCAGAACGCCAACCAAAAAACCTCTCAGATCCTATTGCAAAATGGAGAATGTCTTCTGTGACGGCCGTTGTCTACATGATGAGCATGGTTTGAAGAGGTGTTCTACAAGAAGAAAGAATTGTCACATTACAAGTTCATGATGGACGAACTTTTGCGATCTGCTGCAGGGGCTCGGGGGCTCAAGGCACATTGGTTCCCGGGGAACTCGGCTGGGTGGACTTAGGGCCCAAGCAGCCTGTTTCAGGTTTAGCAGGAGATCCAAAATGTCGGGAATTGTTTGCTAAGGGGGGCGGGACTGTGAGGGTATGACGAGAGGACATGCATCAAAAGTGAGGCTGGGGAGCCAATACGGAGCATTGGGCAGGACTCTTGTGCTAGATCTGGGTTCAAATCTGGTGGCATAAAGTGAGGCTTGTGGGGAATGGGAGGTAAGGATTGTGAGTGACAAGGTCCATGTCTCAGGCAGAGCTTTCATGATCATTTCGACCAGATGGATGATAACAATACACAGTTATTGGTTAGACTGTGATATACTGGATGTTCACAACTTGAATCTAACCCGGTCGACAATGGCCTCTTCAGATTACTCCGTTGTTAAAATGTATATGCGATTCAAGAGGTTGATAGAGGAGAGTTTTTCCGGCCAGGTACCAGGCGGCCCGTCGGACCAATCATCAGCTCGCATCGTCCGAAATTTTCCGGTCCATTGAATTGGGATTTTGGCCTCCGAACAGCTTTGGCTCTTTTTTCACTCTCAGTTCCGTTTGACCACCGCAACTCAACACAATCACCACTGCTTGAGAGGGTGTGCCGCCGTTCTTACCCAAACCCTTCTCTTCACTCTTGAAGCTCCATCAGGAGCTCTAGTCGCCATGTCGGCCGTTCCCACCTCTCGCGCCCTTCTCCGGCAGTCCAGATCCCTCCTGCGACGAAACAATTTCAGACAAGCTTCCACCACCTCAGAAGCCGCCGCGAAGGCGCAAGAAAGCTCAAAGCAGGCCGTGTCAAAGGCTTCAGAAGGTTTGAGCCGCGTCTCGAGCTCTGCGGGCTCTGCAATTTCCAAAGTCGGCTCCTCTGCGTACAGCGCCCTAAGCAGAGTTGGTGGAAGAACAGGGAGAGTTATTGCCTTTGTCGAATGTATGCTACAAGATCCTCTCCAGGAAATATTGGGGCACCTGTTAACTTGGCTAACTTGGCTGCAGCGTTAATACCACCCACGATCTACTACTCTCGTGTCGGATGGGAGGTCGCACGGATCGTCTTCAAGAATCAACAGATGGCTCCTCCGTAAGTCTGATTGGGATCCGATATCATCTACAGCTTCTGACCTGTTATTTCCAGCTCTGTGGCTCAGTTTCAATCCTATTTCCAACCTCTGATTAATGTCTTCCGGAACCCTACGTCCATCACGTCAAGCGCAAGCTCTGTTTTCAAAACTCTCAATCCGGACGCTGCCCTGAACACCATTCGCACTGCAAACCGCAGCCAACTGACCGCGGGTGGAATTGTCTTGGCTCAGGTGTTGGGTTTCTTTACTGTTGGTGAAATGATTGGAAGATGGAAGCTGGTCGGATACCACGGCGAGCCGCATCACGAACATTAAGAGAAGGTTCCCAAAATGACCGACTGCCAAACGCTTGTTTGATGGCTGTGCATTGTAATCTTAGGAGTTTGTCACACGAAAAGACAGGTCAATACATACTTTTAGGCCAATACTCTGCTTGGGCTTGTTTTGGTATCTCTGTTGTGGTTGAAGGACCAGCGATTAGCAAAAGGCTTCATATCCCTTCAGCGGCAATCTGTCTTTCAGTCTCGCTCTGCAGAACATGTTTGGCAGATTCTACTACCACACGGCAACAATGGATCGGATGGTCACCAAATGTCATTGTGAATCGCGAGATGATGGCCTACGAAGCAAGCTAGAGTCATCACCTGCACTACAACCTGTTCTCAATCCAAGTCTTGCGTCCTACCTCGCTTGTCATTCCTACTCAGATTCTTCAGGCGGTCTCTGATGGGGTAAAGACTTGTAAATCGTGCCTTAGATATTCATCATCTGCAACATATGGCAACCTTTATTCCGTTCCGGGACTATCGACGGAATAAGAGAAGAGCCAGCACCAACTCGAGGGTTCCATTTCTTTCTCATGCTTGATCAAGATTGATTTGCTTTGCCGCCAGAATTTGTGGAACACAGACGGTACTGTTTTCACTCGATCCAGTCCCCCAGACATATAAATCTGAAGCCTCTGACTGACAAGTCCTGGAGAAGGAGAGGGCTGTTCGAAATCGAAACTCGACTGCCCGCGCCGTACCTGCCCTCCTGATATCTTGCAATAACTAGCAAGATGGCTCGAGGATGTGTTGAAGGCTGGATATGGCACGACATTTACGTCCCACACGAGGCACCTCGCATCGTTCCCGAGCGCAGTCAGCCCGCACCCTCGCAATGCGGACTCTTTCGTCGCTCTGTTCACGCCTGCAACCCTCGCGCCCCCCGAAGTCAGTCAAGAAACGTGGGACAAAGGAAGGGGTTCCTCGTCGCGTATGATCACCGAACACGGTTCGTGGCAACCTTTTCGCCTGCGCCGGAGGGAATGAGTTGGAGAGACGCATGCTACACGTCCTGAAAGACCATTGACTTCACTACATCTAGACCCCGACGACGAAGCAACGGATGGCTCCTATCTCTAGCTATCCTGCAGCAGACTCTAGCGCAGATGACCAGCTGTTTCGCCTGTTCAGCTCGCTCACTCAGAAAGATGCCATACACCTTTTGTTACTACTCACGGAGGCTTGCCCGTTTGTTGCACCCAAGTACACCCGACTCCGTCCAGCCCATGGGCAGTGAGCCTCGAGAGCACCGAAGCATATCCAGCATGAACTTGCCGGCTGCACCTGACCTTTGTTCTCAATATTCGGCTGATCTAACGAGACCCTGGTCCGAATAAATTTCATCTACTGGCCATACACCCCTGATTGTGCATGGCCGGGAAAATTGGTGCAGGGATCTTATCAAGAGGAAGCGAGACTCGCTAGGACACGAATTGTTCTAGAACATATTGTGAGCAGCTTGCCTCGAAGGAGTTCTAAAGGGAAGAAAGTATGTGTCTCTATATTCGTGCTTATCATTTCAGCCTCGGGGCCAAGAACGAGCCTTCGTCTGTAACGCGCTACTGCGACCAGGAGGCACCTTGTGCTCGTACAAGCTAATATGTAACATGAAGATTCGCCAATCGCATAGCGCCTGATATCGCCATGCAACGGGAAAAGTGTGACCAATCGCAAAAGGTACGAGTAGGTCAGCTGGCCCCAGGAACAGCCTGGGGAGGAACACTTCTCTGTGGCTTGAGGCTCGAGATCCGCACGGCATCCTTGATCCGACCGACACAAGGATCTCTACGGCAGACACAACAGTGTTTGATAGTGTCGAATAGGACTTCCAAGACCCAATCGACCGATGTAGTATGGACCGCAAATCTTCTCCCTTCCCCACCAATCATTTCCAACCGTGTCAGGCGCACGTCTTGATTCATTCTCTATATACGACCTCTGCTAAGGCTAATTGAAGGCTGCAAGCAACCTGCGCTGCAATCCATTGAGCCGCCAAGGTATGTGAAATCTGATCGGATTCGGCTCGGGTTGATTGCTGCTACCCTACGCTCGCCCGTTGTAAGGCTAAAAGGTAGTGTCGATGTGTGTACCGACTAGTAAGAGGCGTGTACCAGGTTGGTTCGTAAGTGTAATGAGTGTGTCTGACTGCGTAATATATGGTAAGCGCGCGTAGTCTCTACTGAGGCCTAACACCGTGTCTCACCAATGTTTGAGACTAATGCTTGTACTTGGGTGCAGGGCTGTAGGTACAGCGTCAACACCCTTGACAGAGACCTCACCCGACGACTGTCGAACGTTTGTATCGTCCTGAGATTCTGGGTTTGTAGCAAAGCCTAATCCGATCAATACCCAGGACACCTCCGCTGATCGACCAATGTCTCTTCCAGCAAAATACCAGTATTTCTTCTGACGCGTCATTTGGGACTGCAATTATGAACGACGACACTGAATCCCAAAGCCTGCTCCAATCTGTGCTTGGGTTGTTCGCTCGAAAACGACCGCAGAGTTTGGCGAAACCGGCGTCACTGAAATCACGGAAACGCGAGGCCTGGCTACGGACGGATGCATTTCTGCAGCACGATGACCTTAGGGAAGCTGACCCAGAGAGCGTTGCAAGGACTCTGCGCGCATTTGAACACCTTGTTCAAGACGACTCTGATGGAGAGATGGATTTTGTAGGTATTCTTGACATACGGCAACTCTAGTTTTTCAGTCGATTGGCCTCTCACTTACTGCCTGCTAACGAACGTTTCGCGGAGCAGAACTTCCAACAACCCGGCCACGAGCAGTATCCGAAGCTCCGCCGCATGATCGAGAATCCGAGTCGCGATCCGCATGGCGACGAAGGCACTGTCATTCGCGTTGGCAAACGGAGACGAGAATGCGATGATGCCATTCAAGAACTTTTACATTTGGAACAGGAGAGAAAGAAGCGCCGAGTTCTGCCTCGTGAGGAGCCAACTCATGTGTCCAACCTCGAAGACCCTGATGCCGACTTTGCCGTGCTGATGAGGAGATATTTGGTGTCCTTGGATAATGCGTTGCGAAAAAACTGGGTTTGCGTTTGCCAGAAGTGCTCAGGGTTGAGCGTGAGGCTGTCGCTGCCACAGCACAAAAAGGATCTCGACGCTGAGGCGAGTTTCGAGGTATTCTTTGGCGTGCGGTCCGTACCTGCGACTGAATTGCAAGAAGCCAAAATCACGGTCAAGTAAGCTCTCAAAGCATTGTGTGGTTGCCTTCTGTTCATTAACGCGGTCGGTGTAGAGACCTACACAATAGCAGATCGAGGCGCGCATCGGAGCCTATAATCAGCAGCCCACCCGACTTTGCCCACATATGCCAGAGCATCACAGAGTCCCTCGGTCAGCGAAATTGCTTGCATTTCGCTCTCGAGGATGGGATGTTTCAGAGACTTCGCCCGCAACCAAAGACATTCGGTAGTGACCGAATGTCTCGGACGGTATCCTTGTCGGCACTGTTCAGCCGCCAGCAAGAATTACTTCGTGGTGAATCGGTTCTGCCACTCAAGGGGAAGCGAGTTTTGGCTGTAACACTGGCTTCAGCACTCCTCCCCTTCCTGGAGACACCGTGGCTGCAGTTTTCCTTCAATCACTCCATGATCCAATTTTTTGAGCCACGGCAGGATGGAGAACTTCCCGATATCACGAAACCGTTCCTGGCACTGGAGCACGTTCCAACAATCTCAGCCCGTAATACAGACACTGGAGACAACTCCGGCGCCTCGAAACACATAGTTCATCCCAACGCCAGTGTGCTAGCGCTAGGCATACTCTTGTGCGAGCTTCACTATTGCACACCTGTGGAGCTAATGGGAAAGGACCCGAAACCTGCCAGGAACGTCAATGATGATCTTTATACCTGTCTCGATAAACTTGAGACTCTGGAAGACGACGCTGGTGTGGATTACTATCTTGCTACGAAAGCATGCCTTACCGGAGACTACTATCCACCTAGACAGCAGGCTAATTTTGAGGATATCAACGTCCAGCGGCTCTTCTATCAAAACGTGGTCAAACGACTTGAAGCCGTGATCTTCAAAGCATGGGGCATACGAATAGAGAATCTGGGTTCATTTGATTCGCGACAAAATGAGTCTTGCTGGGGCTCAATCGGTCGAGAGGTTGTCCGCCTTCATACAAGCAAGCTCGACTCCTCTAATGTAAACACTACAGCAAGGGCAGGTCCTCTTCGTTCAATTTCTGACACTGCGCCCGTGACCTCCGCATCGCTCCACTCAGATATCATGCTAAGGATGTCAGCACAACCTCCTACGGGATCGCGAGCCCACGGACGTCTCGCCGAGCCTTCCGAGAAGAGCTTGTACTTTTTTGATGCAAGCCACCACACAGGGGCTGAACAGGAGTGAGGTGTTACCATTGGCTATGAGGCTTCTTTATGCTAATGACCTTCAGGAATCCACTCTCGGAAAGATGGATGGACAATCTGCTGTCCTCGATCTATCCCTACGTTGACCTTGATGTCGACCTTGCCGAACCGGTGCGAATAGCGATTTTGGACTCGGGACTCGATCCCGAAAGCCCATTCCTGATCGAGGACCAACAACGAGCCAACCCACGGATCAAGGAAGCGCGTAGTTTTGTACACGGTACAGCGTCGCACGACATTCGAGACGAGATAGGGCACGGTACTCATGCTCTTGGCCTCCTTCTCAAAGTTGCCCCATGTGCTGAGATCTATGTCGCCCGAGTTGCGCGACGGGAAACTCTGGATCCCAACACCTATGATGACATTGCAAAGGCAAGCTGTCTTTATGCCAAAGCAGACTTTTTGGACTGAGCTAATGACCTGCATAGGCTATTGATTACGCAGTGGAACAATGGAAAGTGGATATTATATCAATGTCATTCGGGATTCGTGAATACCACGAGCTCATGAGCACAGCTATATCTAATGCACTGAACAAGCGGACATTGTTGTTCGCGGCAGCATCGAATGATGGAGCAAATCTTGGCAGAGCTTTTCCTGCTCAATATCCCAGTGTTTTTTGTATACACTCGACCGATGGAAATGGCAATCCCTCCAAGTTCAACCCGACAGCAAGCGAAACGGACGTCAACTTCAGTCTCCTTGGGGAGCACGTCTCTTCTCACTGGCCGGCTGGCATGAACGGACACGGTCAGACTGTCAAGGCTATGTCAGGAACATCGGTCGCAACACCAATCGCTGCTGGATTAGCCGCGTCGGTCCTGTCTTTTGTCCGGCAACAGGATCAGCACATCGCTGTAGAAAGTGAAAGGCTGGGATCGTGGCTGAAAAGGGACAATTCCATGGATGCCGTCTTCAAGAGTATGGTTAGGCGGAGGCGGGGGGTCGGCTACGACTACATCACGCCTCATGTGCTCTTCGACAGCGGTTCGACAAGGGAGGATGTGTACGGGAGAATCAAGGATATCAAAAGGAACATGTACAAATACTAATCGAAGTCCACTCAACCTCCCATCACACACGGTTCATTGATGCATATCTCACTTATAGTCCACGATTCGTTCAGCATGATGAAGCGGGAACGCAATAGACGTCGCCGTTCTCTGTCACATCGACAACAGCCTTGGCAGTCTTGATATCAGCTCCATCCACCTCTTCAACCAAAACACATTGGTCGTCATCTTTCTCGCCTCCAACGGCCATAAAGGCGCCTTTATTGTACTCTTCAAGCTTCAGTCGCCGCCCAAACTTGAGCCTCTTCACGCGGAATGCAAACACAAATTCCGACTCACGATTAGACTCGGTCGCATCATCATTCGTCCTCGTCCAATGGCCTTTGGGGCCAAAGGTCGTCCCTAAGGCAGTCACATCGACGCCGAAATTCCCTTTGACTGTTGTGCTCTGTGAAGTGGAGTATTTGATCTTGGCGCCCTTGACCAGCTTCATGCCCGTGACAATGAAGAGCTCGCTGACGAGAGCAAACCTCTGCCTGGGTTCTCTTAGCCATGTCTGCACGGCCGGTGCCTTGACGGCCTCTTCCACGTATTCCTGGGTCGGCTCGAACGCCAGGGTTGTCAACGTGTCGAACGCAAACGTATTTGCCGTCTTGTTCGAATGCTCCACATCCAGCTCGGGACCAAGGGGCAGTCCGCCGGTAGCGAGCTGCAGAAACTGTGCATAGACACCCAAACCAAGCCCCTTTTCTGTTGAAAATGTCTTCTTCCAGTCGGTCTCCACGACAGGTGGGAAGGCATTAGCCACGGCAACCACGCTCGCTCTGTTCAGAGGGTATTGCGGTGCAGATGTGGAGCGGATAATAGACCCAAGACATAGCGGGCCCGTTGGTGGTGGATGTATGAATTCGGACGTCGGACACAGAAAATATGTCTTGGTAAAGGACATGGCCTCAGGATTCAGGCTCAGATGTCTGATATGTGCAGTAAGGGGCGTGTTGGACAGGAAGTGTAATGAATATCCGTGTCTGACGGCGGAATAGGTAATAGGGGTGTGGGTTGTGACTGCCGTGGCCTAACGGCGCAATGATCCAAGGCGGAGCAGAAGAAAGACTTTTGACTTTAACCTTATGATATTAACCTTTGACTTTGCCCCGTCGGGCTGTGGGACTTTTGTCAATTGGCACATGGTCATTACAGTATCGGCCGCAGGAATAGGCGCTGGCCGGGGCTTCGGGGGTGTACCTCGTACTCGCTACGGAGTATAAGTAAACACATTACTCAGGGGCCGCCCCTGGGTCGAAATCACGCACAGGCGCTTTCTCATTTTGTTTGTCGCACTTTGTCACACCGGCCCAGCTCGCCAGCCAATCAAGTCGAGCATGTTGATCTAGTACCCAGGCACCCTAGCCAGGTACACCGGCCGAGCCGCTGGTTGTGAGCGCGAGTAGCGGGCGCGTCAGCCGGTTGTGTACTTGTGCCTCATGTAATTAATTACTCGGCACCACTACTTATAATATCTGTAACTCACGGTGAGAAAGGCTGAGGCGGGGCATGAACCCGTAACTCGGCAGCACCCATGACATATGCTGTCTTCTGACACTTTGGGCTCATGCGACAATGTCATAGCCTCAGTCGCGATTTGCCCACCCACAACCTTTGCAACGTCCTTTCGATGCAGAGACCGGATTCGGCTTCCTACATCTCTATCGCACTCAGACGGACTCGCGACTCCTGGTAGCGTGCCCTCTCACCATGGGAAGTCTCGAGCGCGCGGGAGACGAGTACATTGAAGATGTCTTCCTCCAGGATGCTCTCAACCCGACCATCGCAGAGCATGCGACCCAATGCCATTCTCTTTTCCACAGGTGCATGGTTATGCCGGACATCGTGCCAGACCCCACGATTATGGACGATCAGCTTGCACGCTTTTCTCTGTGGGCATCAAACATGGATGTTTATGGGCCACCCAACGTCTCGCTGGACTACAGGCTCCGATTCAGTCCCGTAGCCGTAGATATCATACACCAGCTCCTAGATGTTATTTGCGACACCTTGCTGTCTTGTGAGTACTGTTCATACCACATCCGGATGCATTAAAGAACAAAACTGACGGGAGTCTCGACAACAGTGAAGCCAATCGACGAGCGACCACCACAAACTTCGAGCAGAAAGAGACAACGCATGTCAGGATATGGCAATTCGGGACTCATGACGAGAGCCGACGAAGACGCGAGCGATTCTGAGAGCGATGTCGATCCAGTAGAAGAAAATATCTTAAAGATTACCGAGACAATCGGCGGAACTATGACGCGGCTCTTTCGTCTCTCCAACGCCGTTCGAAAGTCTGCCAAAGCCAACCGGGCCCGCAAGATCGAGAGGTACAAAGACGATGAAGAGGCAAACAAGGCCATAGACGAGTTACGTCTCTATACAAAATGCTATATTGAGTTTCGGTACCCCGAGGCGCCGGAGGCACTCCGCTCGGCATTGGTTGAAGCCAATGCACTGCGCCTCCGAAGGCTGTATTATCAGCGCTCTCATCGAAGGCGCCTTGAGCTGAGTATTCAGCGCCCGGACACGAGTTCGGTTGTTGTTCAACTCCCGAAAATGACAGCGAGTGCGCCGGCTGTAAGATTTGCGTCGAGTGCCCTGCCAAAGCCCGCGGCCACAAATGAAATGCGGGCCCCTTCACCTGTGCCAGCAACGAATGCAACTACTGCTCGACAGACTGCCGTTGCGGCCTTCTACGCCAAATCCACAACTGAGGTCCCGCGGGCCAAGTCTGCTCTCGTGAACAACAAGTTGTCGTTCCCTGCCATACCGCCGACGCACCAGTGTCCATACTGTGGTGTCATTGTTGAGTTCAAGAACACTGCAAGGTCATTGTTGTGGCAGTGAGCAGTCCATTCCGGTCGTTTGATGGGAACATGTGGCTAATATGCACCAGAAATCATGTCGTGGGAGACCTGGAGCCTTTTATTTGTGTCTTTCCACACTGCCTGCAAGGAGGTCACCACGAGCACGGGACCGGCCCGCTCACATTCGAAACGACGAAAGCCTGGTCCAGCCACATGCAGAATGCTCATGGCCATACATGGGAGTGCAGGGCTCCTTCTCACGATCCGATCGTCTTTGACCAAGAGACCCAGTACCAGGAGCACTCCATCAGGGAGCACGGCGTGCCTGAAGCGCACGCCGGGACCCTCAGCAACGCCGCACGGAGGCCAATTGCCGATAAGGTGCTGGAATGTCCATTTGGCGACGATTTTCAGCCCTCGGGAAAGGCTGAGTCAAACGCTGTCTTCTCGAGTGAAGCTCTCCAGTCACACGTCGCCGGTCATATGAAGGAAATTGCTCTGCTTACACTGCAAAAACTTCCCAGCGATGATGTCGAGAACGTGGAGAACGTCGACAGCGACCAACCGTTAGAAGATGATGGGCCAGCCGGCGCTTTTCGTGGTTCCATGTACAGCGTACTTGATGATGAGGACCTGGATTTTCAAGATGATGACCTTGAGGCTGCAGATGGCAATGAGGGACACCGCGGAGAGGACATCACTGCACAGGTGACAGTGCTCGACCTAGAGGACAAAGACGACTTAGGGATGACGAAGCTTCACCACGCAGTGCAGGCCGGCGATCTGAGCCTGATTGAGTCCCTGATCCAGAGGGGCGCAAGTATGAATGTGAGGGACGAAAATGGCCAGACGCCCCTGCATTACGCTGCGGAGAGGGGCTTCATCGAGTGCATGGAAATCTTGATGATGCGCGGTGCGGACATACACATCGTTGACAAGTTTGGATTTTCTCCATTCCTCTTGGCTGTCGTTGCCGGGCAAGAAGGCGCCGTTACGAGACTGTTGGCTGATACCAATCCATTCAGCGCGGACGGAAAGTCAGCGCTCGCTTGGGCAGCCGGTCTGGGATGGTATTCGGTGGCTAAAATGCTTCTTGAACACGGTGTCAGCACATCTCTTGACCGATCTCTTGCCCGAGATGCGCAACAGACTCTGCCTTTGGAAGAAGCGGCAGCTTCTGGCAATATGTCCGTTGTTCAATTGCTCCTCGCTTATGGTGTAGATCTGAACCATCGTAATCGCGATGGTTGGTCCGCCATACATTGGGCAGCGGAGGAGGGCCATCTGGAGATTGTACGTATGTTGCTGGACCATGGGGCCAACCTCAATGCGGTGAGCTCTTACGGTACATCGCCATTGCACTGCGCCGCAAATGGAGGGCATGTTTCCATTGTGAACTTGCTCCTCCTACAGGGGGCCGACCGCCACAAGACAACATGCCACGGCTGGACTGCACTACACCATGCCGCCTTCATGGGTCACTCGCATGTCGTCCAGCGCCTCTTAGAAGACGGCAGCATACGATCCACCGCCTCCCAGCAGGACAATCACGGCTGGTCTGTTCTTCATTTAGCCGTCCACAGCCGAGATCTAGCCACCGTCCGGGTCCTGCTCGATGAATCTGTCATTGCAGAGCCTCAGACCCTGTGGGACGAAAGCGGCCTCACCGCAGAAGAATGGCTAGATCGCGGGCAGGCTAGCCATTCGCAGAGAGCCACAAGCAACTTGGCGTTCAGTAAGTCGCGCTGTTGTCGGGCCGTCACAGGCATTCGCCAAGCTGTTACTCTGGACAACGTCCCCATGATCAAACTTCTTCTCAGATTGGGTCACGACATCAATGGCATGAACTCTGGAAGGAGGACTGCGCTCTACTACGCCTCGAAGAAGGGAATGCTTTCGATCGTGGATCTACTTCTTGACCTGGGTGCGGATCCCAACATCCTCCCTAACGGGCGGAAGAACTGGGAAGAATTCATTCCACCCGGTGACGTTTTACAGCGCCTCTACCGAGCCGGATACAAGAAACGAGATGCCGACCACGAGTTGGAGCGCCAGATTCGGCATGCACTCAGAGTGCAGAGCCAGTCGTCTGTGCCGGATCCACCAGCCTGGTTCGTATCAGGCGAGTCGAATTCATCCATGCCGGATCGATCTGTCTCCCATGACATGGACCGGCCTTCCTCCCCTGTTCCAGCTTTGTCAACGTCACCTTCTCTAGACCATGCAGCCTCAAGTAGACTTACAAGCTCGCCGGCGCCTACCCACCAAACAAATGACAGGAAGCGCAAGGCAAAGTCAAGCCGGACGGGCTGGTGGAAACGGCTCATAGGTGCAATATAGCGACCCTCGGTTCCTAACGGCGTGAGTGAGGAGCGACACAACCGTTGTGGGTAGTAGTGCCGGGCATTGAGAGCTTTGACAACAAAGGTTGTTGCGAGTGGCCTCTTTTACATGAACTGTGTCAAACTATAGTAGCGATTATGATGCAGTAGATTCGAAATTGGCCGGTTCTGAGACAGAACTCTGAGCAAGGGTCAAGAACAAACAAAACGACGAAACCGCATTCTGCCGCTCATGTCTGTAAACGAAGGAGTCAAAGGTTACACCAAGACCTGAACTCAACGCTTCCCTATAAAGGGACGTTCCTCGATGAGAACCCAAATTATTTTATTACTTCCCCCCTCCTTTTTCTCTTTTTTTTTTTTTAATTTTTATTCTTATTTTTTTTGTTTTTTAAGAATCAATTCCAAAAAGCGTGTAAAAAGCACCAGTTATGATTATGCACAGGTTCAAAATCTCCTTTGCGACTTTTGCTCTGCTGTCCCCTGCCTGGATACAGACAGGAGTCCAGGAAGGAAGGAGGAGGAGGAGGAGGAGGAAGGGGAGGAGTATGCGCGATTGAATTCCCTTATCTACAGACCAAGGATGCGATTCATCATATCCCCGACTCCCGGCAGGGACCGTAGATGCTGTTCCACTCTCTGTCTGGATGCACCGCCTCTGGGTAATGTCAAACCATGGCGCTTGCCAACGATCAAGCACTCGACCAAAGTCTTGCAAGCCCGCTTCTGCAACGATCCAGGAGGCTCCTTTGCTATCAATGCCGCTATTTCCTCCGGGATGGCCTCGCCAATCAGCCACCGGTGAGGGTTGGCATTCTCCTGGCAGAGTATCAGGCATGCTGCCGAGGGCACGTTGAGAAAGCGGTCCTGTCCCTTCTCATGGGCCTGTCGGGCGAACTGAAAAATGGTGGTCAGAAAGAGGCGCAGTCTAGCAGAATCGCGGCTTTCGCTGATGACGGATAGCTCATTGGCGCACGCCTGGTTCGCGCCGGTGAACAATTCGACTTCATAACTGCTGCCGATGTATCCTTGGAAAAACTCGGCAACGACCCGGGAGAAATACTCAATCGGCCCCGTTTCCTGTTTGTCGATCATGGCGAAGTGGCCCGTCATGAGTAGGGCCGTCCGAAGTACGATCTCTTCCCGATTCTCATTGCGGACACACCCATCGAAGTCACTCAAAAACTCGCGAATGCCAAAGTGGAAGAACTCCAACGCGTCCCTTTCGCAGGCAATGGCGGCCCAGTCTGAAATTGCCGCGGCTGTGACGGCATCCCCTTCTCTCCATCCGTGTCGGACAGCCGTGAGTTTCGTATCCATGCCGGTAAAGACGGTGATGGCCAGCAGTGCCTGAAGATCTCTGGGCGCCACCTTCTGCAAGATGTGCGTCGACAGGTCGCCCATGGCTTTCAGCCTCTTCGGATTTCTGGCGACGACCAACCCCAAGAAAAAGACATGGTACAGTTTCGCCCATTCTCGCAGTTCGTCCTTTTTGTTCTCCTGGACGAGCTCCTGCAGTACAGCCAGGCTGTCCCAGCGGTTCAACGCCACAAACTTGAGATAAAGGGACATCAATTCGAGGACGAGGGGAAAGCGGAGGGAGAGGCCAAGCCCTTTCATGACCAGGTCGACAAATCGCGACGAACGCTTGAAGCGTGCGAGGAAGACCTGCTCCTGAAGCCCGAGCAGCTCTTTCACCCGCTCGTCCACCGGTTCCGTAGGTCCCTTCAGGGAAGCTACTCCCAGAAGAGCTGGCAGTCTGTCCACGCGCGCTCCATGCTCAATTAACTCCTGTGTCATTTCTCTCGAATTCGCCAGAATGGCTCTCACCAATGGCGTGTCCGTATCGCCATGTTCCCCCTTGGCCTCAAGACGGGCGCCGTGTGCGAGCAGTAAAGACACGACGTCCTTGTGTTGTCCAGTGACCGCAATATGGAGTGCCGTCAACATGCTTCGATCTTTGAAATTGACACGCGCACCATGGTCAAGCAGCAGCTCCACCACTTCTCGGTGACCTTGGTTGACAGCCCAGGACAACGGCGTTCGGCCATAGTTGTCCTTTCGCGAAATGAAACGGGGATGCTTCCTGATCAACAACTTGGCCCAGGGTACATTGCCAAAGTATGCTGCGAGATGCAAGAGCGTGAAGGAGGGCGGGCTTCCGCCGTTCTTTTCCTGCTCCCAGTAGACTTTCCACCATTCTTCCCGGATCGGGGAGTCAATCTGGAAGAATGGACGTGAGAACTCGGACGGTCCATCGATCACATGGATGGCGTGGTGAAAGTGCACCGGCCAGTATTGGCTAGCATAAGATAAGAAGGGATCGTGGCCAGATTTTTCGTGAATTCTTCCAGCATTTCCGTATCCCCTCTCGACATGTGCTAAACAGGTCTGCATGAGACTCCTGTGGGTCTCCTGGCTCATATGGAACATGTTGATCCCTTTGATATTGATTTGATCGCTCTGAAAGAACTCTTTCGCTGATTCGTGGACCAGGTTGACGACATCTCCTTCAACCTTCACGAGCAATCCGGCGAGCCTGAGCCGATTCTTGGTCACTTGCGTCGCTGTAAGAGTACCAGCAGACCTGATACCTGCAGCCACAGTCAATTCCTCCAGTGTGAGAGGCCGGGCAGCAAGAACGACCCATTGAAGAACGGGGACCAACGCTTCCTTGTCACCGATCTGCTGAAGAAGCCGCTGATAAATCCCACCCAGGCCTTTTGGGACATGGCGGAGAACTTCATCGATTTTGCTCCAACTCCTGCCCTGGAGCTCATTGGAAACGAACCCAACCCACAGAAAGGTCCCATCAGCGCCAGCCAGCAAGGTCTGCTGAACCTGCGCCACCATCTCTTCGGACAAATTTTGCTCGGCTGCCAGTTCGGCAACTTTAGAGACGATGTATCTCTCGACATCATGCGAAATTTCCGTGTCGGAGTCGTCCAACTGGATCTGCGGATATTGGCCCAGTTTGCTCTCCAAAATAGCCGGCTGAGGTCGGGAGAGGATAATGAGCTTCAATCGTGGCCTTAAATTCCCCCCAGACTTCGACAAGTAATTCGTAATGGCATCGAGAAGCTGCTTGAGTGACTCCCTTTCGCATTCATCCAAACCGTCCAGAACACAGACTACCTGGGAAGACGTGCTCTGCTGAAGCAGGGTCAGGAAAACCCTCCACAGCGCGACAAAACTGGAAATTGTATATTTGGTTGTTTCCGTCCCATCGAAGGAAATCTTGATGTCTTTGGCCAGGCTAGGATCGAGGTCGATCCATTGATGTAGGATGCCTCTCATGATGGTCAATGCGGTATTCCGATTCTTGTCGCGGTTACTGCAAAAGTAGTAGAGGAGAACATTGTCGGCCGCGTCAACCACTGGCTGAAGCACCTCGGTGAGATAAATCGCCAGCATGGTCTTACCTTTTCCGGGGCCGCCTGAGATCCAGAGGAGAGGGTGATCCACATCTTCCAGCCACCCTTGATAATGGGGATGCCGCACGAGCCATTCGCAGGTGCCGTCAACCCTGCGCCCCTTCAATGCAACAAGTGATTTCCGATCAACCTCGGGTCTCGTCAAGAGCAAAGCGTCAAGAACGGGCGCAGCATCGGCATACGAGCTCGTCGTCAGAGGTATCGTCTTGGACACCGAGGGTATGAAAGAGAGGACCTCTTTTGCATATGCTGCAGCAGCCGCTGCGGCGTAAGCGTGCCACATGTCGGACCTATGCGAATCTGCGTAGTCACAAATTCCTCGGACGACCAGGTCCTGTGTGGCGTCACTCAGCCCGGCTGCCTCCCTCTCGAGACAGAGAATGCCATGCTTGTGCGCGAACTCGTCCCGGATCGCACCGTGGGGCGTCAAATTATGCCCGGAGGCAATCAAGCCATAATGAATTATGGGGTTCTGTACCTCGCGAGGCTGCCGGGGTCGAATCCTCTCTGGATCGCAATGACTGCATCCGCTTTCTTCGGATTCGATGGTGGCATGACCATAATTGGGCTCAAAGAGGACGTCTTGCTCTGGGCCAGGGTAGGAAAAGGTGACGGGGTCTGTCTGCACGATCTCGGAGATGTACAGTGGCATCTTACTTTCATCAAATATAGCGGCTGACTCGGCCTTACCCATAGCTGTGAGAAGCACGGGTGTTGGTTGATGTGACGGTTTGCTGGGAACACGTTGATTTTCTGTTCGCTTCCCGTTCATGTCGTACTGGACGACACCCGACCCGCCAGCTGTCGATTTGCCGACAACAACATCACCAAGACGAATATCCTCCTTCGTATCGGGCACTCCTCCCGCAATGCCAACCACAAGAGTGATTCGCACAGATGTGTAAGTTGCATGCAACTGAGTGGCCACGTCGGCCACCGACGTTTTACCACACACTCTGACATTTGGATACGCCACGACGACGTTGTGGCCTTGAAGACTCCCTAGAATGTAGTTGTTGCTGTCGTCCGGGTTCCAATGCGGAGGTTGATTGTCATGGAGGCGATCAAGCGCTGCTTTGGCGGCAGCGACCTCTATAGGCAGTGCGCAAACCCACCCGACTGTGTAGTCGTCACAGGACGCCATCTCGGGCCCGTCTACAGATCAAGGAACGGGAGCCTCCAGGAGCGTCGGTGCCGGCACGGTGTGTTGAGTGTATCGAGCTGGACTGTTTGAGTAGTCTTGAGAGAAGGTCGACTTTCCCGAGCATTGCGGCCGTTGGTATGGGCGAGCAACGCAATCAATCAAACATGGGGTACCTCGTGCAGCAACGAACACGCGAGGGTTCTTCTTTAGCCACATCATGGGCGTGTCAGTAGACTTGCTATGGCCCACTCACACCTTGGTTCTCGAATTCCGGACTGCCCCTTGGGCTAGAAAGACAGACAGCCTGGAATACAGCCAATCAAAGTCTCAGCAATCCTGGTCTATACGAGACATAGCAAGCTGTTGAAGCAGGGCACCACACAAAAAAAAGTTGCTCGTGCTGATGTGGAAAGGGGCACTAGCACACGGACCGAGTATCCCCGTGGCAGTGCCCGATAGGATCCAATGTCGCAATGCCCCTGGACAGCCCCACTTTGGGTGCAATTGCACAATTTGACGCTGACCCTGCTGGCTCGAATAACCCGATGTGGTTGGTTGGGTACCCTGGTGGTTCTGGCACTCACAGGGCGAGCTGTTGGGGGCTGTTACAAAAGCTGCAGCTGCAGCAGCATCAGGGGCCATTTTGTCAGGGAAATTTAGCCGCTCACCACAAGTGACCCACTTGGGTGCCCACTGGTGGCGCGCCAAGGCTGGCGCTTAGCGAGGACAACTGGAGTGACTCCGTAGGTACAAAGGACAGCGGTGGAAGAAACAATGCAAAGACGGGGGCCTCTTTCTTCATCTTGGACTTCGACTGACCCTCAACATCCAGCCTCCTCACATTACCTTGTCATCGGGCACGACAGCAAATGGTATCCGAGCCCCGTCTTCGAGTTTCGCCCCGCCCGCCGTCAGAGGCGCACAAAGGCGGGGGAATGGCACGCACCAGCGACACGACGATCAAGCCGGCGCAGGCAGGACGTCCAGCTCTTCTCTCGTTCGATGAGATGCCGGAATGGTACCGACGTGAATGCAACCCGTGGATTCTCCATGGCTATCGGCCCATTTCAGGCTCGGTTCACACTTCGTTCTGCAGTTGGTCATATATCCACAACGAGTCGGTCAACATCTATTCCCACCTCATCCCGGCCGTTTTGTTCCTGCTCGGCGAGGGGTATATCCAGCAGCACCTTGCCAGCAGGTACTCCAGGGTCACCGGCGCCGATTTCGTGGCGTTCTCCATCTTCATGTTGGCGGCCGTCACGTGTCTGTCGTTGTCAGCGACGTACCACACCTTGATGAACCACTCCCAACACGTGGAACATCTCTGCCTACGACTGGATATGCTGGGGGTAGTGATCTTCATACTGGGGGACCTTGTCTTGGGAATATACATGGTATTTTGGTGTGAATCCTTGCCACGTAACATCTACTGGGCTATGGTTAGTCGATCACCACGTGCACAAGTTTTGTTTTTCTCGATCTCAGACCTGGTACCTGAGTCTAACAGTCTTCTTTTCCTCGCCTTATAGATTGGGGTTTTCGGCACATTGACCATTTTCATGACATTGCATCCCAAGTACCAGGGCTCGAAGTATCGCCTCTTCCGAGCGCTGATGTTCGTGGCGACGGGCTTGTGCGGTATTGCGCCCTTGATCCATGGACTCTATGTGTTCGGCATGTCGGGGATGATGAGAAAAGCTTTTCCTTATACTTTGGCAAAAGCGGCCTGCCTTCTATCGGGAACCGCGTTTTATGCAGTGAGTCTCCCATTTTCGCATACAAGAGAGAAATTCACCCTGACACATGTGGTTCCTTAGACCAGGTTTCCCGAAAGTCGATATCCTGGCAAATTCGACCTATGGGGCTCCCATGCGATCTTTCACGTCCTGGTGGTATGCGCCGCTGTGGTCCAGTTGATGGGGTATCTTGATGCCTTCGACCATGCTCACGCGAATCTTACTTGCTCATCTCTTTGAGTCATGTGAACATGCCATGTATGCAGCTTCCGGCCACTCGGACGAGCTTCCAAACACGCACTGCACGATAGCGAACGCTGGAACATGGTGAAAGCCAAGGTGATCGAAACATCAGGTTCGCCAAACGGATCAGAGCGTTGACAAAACGTGATCGAAATGAACTTTTGCGTGGTGGATTGACGCTGATTCAGCCCCGATAGCGGGTACGATCACCAAGTTGACCTCCGAGCAGACTTTACCCTGCTTGAGCCGCTGTTCGCCCTATATGCAAGAAGACGAGCTTGATGGTAGTGTGTAAAACGAGGTGACGTGGGGGTATGGTATTGTCCAGGTATTTTTGGTAACGATGAATCTGGGTGTTGGTAAAGCTATGTAATGGCAGATGAACGTGCCAAGGCGCTAAGAAGCTGAGGAAAGGAAGATCTAGGAGGCGAGATCCGATTGTGGTCAAAGTTTGACCAATCAGGCAGGCTGGGCTTTCTTGATAAGACATCGACTTTCTATTTTTCAATCGGGCTTGTCAACTCTCTCGACCAGCCTTGCAACCACATTTGTCCGCCGCCTTGTCACTGACAAGGTGTGATCTACCTACTCTCCACTTGATTGCATGTCTCCATTATTAGCCAATCACCAAGGGTGCGTGGCTGGTTAGCCTTGATAAGATGGACTTTTTATTTTTCAATCGAGCTTGTCAACTTCTCCCAACAAGCCTTACCTGTTCACGGACACCGGGTGATCTGCTCTCCACTCCATCCCATGTCGTGCTTATCAGTGTTTCCAGTGAGCCAACAGGGATTGGCAATTACGGCCCGCACTTGGCGTCGATATGCAGGCCAACTCTACCACCACTCCACGAACACTCCACGCCAAACCAAATTCCCCAGCTTCTTGTTTGGTCGCACAGGTGATCACAGATACCATGTCATGTCGCTCGCGTCCCCTCGTGCCGTTATCGGGCCAGCGAAGAGCAGGGAAAATTTTTCAGTGCCAGCCATCGCGTGCTCACGAGCCATGTGCGGATGGAGTTCTCTCCCACGAGCCCAGACTTTCTTTTGCTGCACGCCAGCTTCGTCTTCACGTTGGCCAGACGGTGACCCGAGAAATATATAAGGTGAGGAAAGCCCACTCACGGGCCACCAACCATAGCCAGCCTCCCCTCCATCTGCGTCCCTCGGACTCCTTCGAAGAAATTGCGGCAACTAGTGTCACAAGGGCCAAGGCAGGCATCCTAGAGTCAAGATGTCAGATACTGCAGGAGCAGCTGTCGTTCCTCTCTCGAAAGGATTTGGATATGGCATCATCCTAGGTCTCGGGTTTGCCTTTGCGCTGGGCATGATTGGCACGACATGGGCATTGAAAAGATATCACGGAGAAGTCAGTACCGGCTGGTCCCCAACCAATATATAGCTAACAACCTTCAGGTACAAACCTCTGAAGAGTTCTCAACCGCGGGGAGAACTGTCAAGTCTGGTCTCGTAGCCGCAGCCGTCGTGTCCAGCTGGACTTGGGCTGCGACCTTGCTTCAGTCTTCGGGTGTGGCTTATTCGTACGGTGTCTCCGGCCCATTCTGGTACGCGTCCGGGGCCACCGTCCAGATCTTGCTGTTTGCGACCTTGGCTATTGAGTAAGTGTTGCTCGTGACTAAACTACAACTTCTTACTAACTGTCCATACAAGGTTGAAGAGACGTGCACCCAATGCCCACACATTTCTGGAAGTGATCAAAGCCCGCTATGGCGTCGTGACACACGTTGTCTTCCTGATCTTCGGCCTCATGACAAACATCCTTGTTACCGCGATGCTCTTGACTGGTGGCAGTGCTGTGGCCAGCTCTCTTTGTGGAGTACCTACGGCCGCAGCCTGTTTCCTCCTCCCAATTGGTGTCGTTCTATATACCATGTTTGGCGGGATCAAAGCAACCTTCTTGACGGATTACGTGCACACGATTATCATTCTCGTCATCATATTTGTCTTTGCATTTAGCGCCTATGCCACTAATGAGGTGGCGGGCTCACCAGGCAAGGTCTGGGAACTTCTCGTGGACGCCGCGAAACGACATCCCGTGGATGGAAACAAAGATGGCAGCTATCTGACGATGCGAAGTCAAGAAGGCGCTATCTTTTTTGTCATCAACATTGTCGGCAATTTTGGTACGCCTAATGTAGTGTCCAGCCTGGACAAGTCCTTCTGCTAACTCCATCCAGGGACTGTGTTCTTGGACAACGGCTATTACAACAAAGCCATTGCCGCTTCGCCTGTCGACGCATTGCCCGGATATGTTATGGGTGGCTTGTCGTGGTTTGCCATCCCCTGGCTTTGTGCCACGACCATGGGTCTTGCTGCCCTCGCCCTCGAGAACAACCCCGTCTTCCCAACCTACCCAAACCGCATGTCCCACGCCGATGTCAGTGCAGGGCTCGTCCTCCCCTACGCTGCCGTTGCCCTCCTCGGAAAAGGTGGAGCAGCCGCCACTCTTCTCCTGGTTTTCATGGCCGTCACCTCAGCCTCGTCTGCCGAGCTGATTGCCGTCTCGTCGATCTGGACCTACGACATCTACCAGACATACATCAACCCCAAGGCCTCGGGCAAGTTCTTGATCCGAATGTCTCACGCTGCCTGTGTCGTTTACGCCATTTGTCTGGCCTCGTTTTCGACCGGACTGTTCTATGCCGGCGTCAGCATGGGGTACCTCTATCTGCTTATGGTAAGCTTTCCATCAATCAGTACAAGTCATGTAATGCTAACTACATCTGCTTTGTGAAGGGCTGTATCATTAGCAGTGCAGTCATACCCGCCACCCTGGCACTGATGTGGAAGGACCAAAACTGGCAAGCCGCCGCGGGCGCCCCCGTGCTAGGCTTCGCGTGCGCCTTGATCGCCTGGCTGGTGACGGCCAAGAGGGAGTGCGGAGTGCTCAACGTCGACTGCACGGGCTCCAACAACCCCATGTTGGCGGGCAACGTGACGGCGTTGCTCAGCCCGCTCGTCTTCGTCCCCATCCTCACCTTCGTCTTTGGCCGACAGAACTACGACTGGGAGTCGATGAAGGCGATCCGCAAGGGCGACGACTCGGACATCCTCCGCCGCGCCAGCGTCGACGCCGAAATGCAACGCGAGATTGCCGCGCGAACAGCCGAGCACGAAGCCGCCGAGCAGACCAAGCTGAACAAAGCGGCCATCATCTCAAGGAGTCTAACCGGGTTCATGACCATTGCCCTATTGGTGCTGTGGCCCATGCCCATGTACGGGACGGGATATATCTTTTCCAAGAAATTCTTTACCGGTGAGTCTCCTGTCGTTGCGTTGCGTTTCACAGTCTGGCTCTCTTCAAAGAAATCTCCAACTGTTGGACCCTTCCTCACATTTCCCCTCTTCCCGTCCTGTCACTTTTTCTCTTCTCTACCTTTTTCGCCCCACTAACACCTCCTTTCCACGATAGGCTGGGTCGTCGTCGGCATTCTCTGGCTCTTCTGCTCCAGCTTCTGCGTCGGCCTGTTCCCGCTCTGGCAAGGCCGCAAAACCATGGCCCACACTGTCAAATCCATCTTCCTCGACGTCGCGGGCAAGAGAGGATCTGCCCTCCACGGCCGCCCCGCCGAGGTTGTCGAAGGTGAGGACCAGGAGACCAGTGGACAACAGACCCCCCACGATGGCGCGGAGAAGGTCGTGGTTAAGACCGATTGAGCGGTTACTGTGTCAATGCCATCAATGCACAAGTCACAGGTTTCGTGCAGTGTGTGCTGGCTCTGAGCACTGGGAGAAGGAATCCAAGATACAAGATACAAGGTTTAAGGATAGTCTTGAGAGGAAGTGTCAAGACTAGGATCCAGGGTTTAGCGAAGGGGAGGGAGGGATGGGGGCAGCGAGAGAGTTCCCCAGAAACTCGGTTCATTCTTGTGCTGCGTAGATAGATACCCCAGACAGGTAGAGCGAGGAGGTTAGTTCCCAGAAAATTGTTTTTGCTCTTTATGTTCTCTGACCTCTTCTATTTCTGCTTCTATTTCTGCTGCTGCTGCTGCTACTACTCCATGGATGGATATCTGAGATACTCAGGCACCGGGGACCTAGCACCACTTTAGAAGACAGGGCAAGACAAGGCCTTCGTGATACTAGATCCTAGGTAAACTGGTAGACTGGTAGACTGGTAGACATGTAGAGGGAGAGCCTCGTCAGGAAAGGTTACGGGGTTTCTAGGAGAAATGGAAAAAGAGAAAAAGAGACGACAGGCCTCTGGAAGTGAGGACGCTCAAGATCTATACCTACATACACGGCCTCTTCTTATATATCACAATGTTGAAGCTAGTCAGAGTGGTAGTGACGGTGACGGTGACTTGTTAACTTGTTAACAATCTTGGACGATATGCGTTGTATGCGTTGCTCATTGTCATTTTCAAAGCCATAGTTAAAGTCATAGTAATACAACTCGACTCTTTTTGTGTCTGTTTGCGTGTCGTCGGTGAATCAATCCTGGCCACTTTCCAAGCCTGTACGGATCACTCGATACGACACACGCTCTGCATTTCCTGGTAGACATCACCCATGTGCCTAACACCATCTCAACGGTGCCTGGCTATCCCCTCCTACCCACCTTGAGCTATCCTTGCGAGACCATCGTTGTCGTGTTCAAATTGCATTGCCATCCCTCGGGCACTACTACCAACCCAAACCCCCTCAAACACCCGCTTATAACGGGACATGCACTGTGGGGCAAACATTTGTGACCTGTCAATCTGTCTCTTTCTTGCTCTCACACTAGCAATAACTCATTTTTTTCCCCAGTATTCCCAGTGTTTACTTCTTGTCTGCGGGCTTCGCGTTGACCAGTCCAGACAAGAACCCGCTGAAGCCTTCTGGCTTCTTCATGTCTTCCCAGCTCTGTCGTCGGTCGGCGTGAGCGTCTCGGTTTGCCATGAGGCCGGAGAAGATGCCACCCTGGTTGGAAGCAGAGGACTAGAACATTTCAGCCTCAGTCAGCATGGTTTCACACGAGTGATGAAGAATGAGGTTCGAGAGGTGGTATAGTGTGCGTGTGAGAGCATATTGTAGACCTGGAGCAATACATACCCGTCTCCGTCCGGCAATGGCCGCCGCAATGCCTCCCCCGGAGCTCGTCGCAGGGGGTGAGCTGGCCTTTGGCAGAATGTCTGCCGGCTTGGCCGCACTCGACCCGCTCAACCTCCTCGACGGCTCGTGCACCTCTTTCCCCGCCATACCCATGAATCGTCGGTCGCCGCCCCACGCGTCGGGGTTGGACAACACCTTCTTCTCCACGACCGGGTAGTCGGGAAGAGCTGGTGTGGCCCCGGCAGCGGCGGCAGCGGCGGCAGCGGCAGGGGTGGCATTGTTCAGGATGGGTGAGTCGGCGGTCTTGTCGCTACCGGAGGAGCCTGACAGACGACGGGCGGTGCCTTCGTGGACTTCACGCCCCGCAGGGAACATGAAGCGGCGGTCTTGCCAGGACGAGGACGAAGATGAGGACATGGTCGTCTGATGCCTAGATGAGAGTATGTGAGTGATGTAACAATGGCCAAGGGAAAGAGCCTGGATGTGTGAGGTAGTGTTTGGAGAGAAAGGGTACTCGGAAAACAAAGTAATTGATAGGTAGAGATATATCGAGAAGAGTTCAAGCAAGAGGCAGAGGTAGCAGCAGCTGGCCAAAGGTGATTGGGAGATTACAAAGAGCTGCCAGCTGGTCGTGGTACGAGGGGAAGGGCATCCCCTTCCCCCCTCGCTGTCTACGAGCAGAGTAACTTCCTTCCCTGACGAGCATCCGTGACATGTGAGAGGTGGACAAGGGCGGCATTGCTCGTACGAGTCTAGCCAGTAGTCCAATAGTTCAGGTCTTTTCCTTTGACCTGCTGCTCCTCCCCCGCCTTTGACTGGCTTCGTCTGGGGTAAAACATTCCCGGCGCCGGCAGCGACTGGAACCAAATGACGCCAAGAGATGCTTATCTGGACAATGACGTAGTGAATGGGGCCGGGACAGCAGAGGCTATTTGAGCCGATCACATGCTATCGGTAAGAGATGCCCTGGAGTGATGAGCGAGTATCTCAGAACACAGCGCAGGTACTGTAGGTGTGTGTGAGAAAGTCATTCGTGGAGATGTACAAATGTGAGTACATTATTGACGTCCGCATCTTCCGAAGCCTTGGTTGGCCAAGCATTGACATGTCGTGTCCCCCGTTCTCGACACTCATCCTGTTTGGTCATTCCAACCCTATGGACGTGGCTTGATCTGAGAGAATCGAGCAAGAACCTCACGGAGACTGTCCCAGCTGCAGCATCAATATGTTGGGCAGGGCTCAATGTCCTCCGTCATCACCGTCACCATCACCGTTTACGTTCTGTGCTGCAGTGGCAAAAGGAAGGAGGATGCGTTCCTCTTCGGCTTCGTAGATGCGCTGCTCCCACAGGACTCGGTCAGCCGAATCTCTAAAGCAATCACATATGAAATGATTTGGTGGATGGATGTGGCAATCTCACCTCAATTGCGCCTGTTGCCGTCATCCAGCTAGCAACCAGCATGCTCTGCAACACCCAGCTGCCCCCAAAGACACGGCTCCGAAATCGCGAAGCGTCCCAAGTGTCAAAGCCACGGTGTGGGAAGTTGGAGTCCAGATGCAGCTGGAGCAACTGCGGGAATCGATCCAGTGCCCGCTGCGACTTTCGCACGGCATCGCGGTAGAAGCCCACAGCGCCGAGAATGAAGCCAGCACAGGCCGACACCACAAAGGGGATTGTGGCGGTATCAAAGATCATGGCGCCTATTGAGGCGCCGCTCATGCCCACGAAAATGGAGCCCAAGGTCCCAGAGACGATGACCCGTGCCATGCTGAAACACCACGCGGGTTAGATAGACATCCCACCGATCGAATTCGGAAAAGGGGTGTTATCCTCTTAGGGAAAAGACACCTACAATATGCCCGGACCGCTGCACCAACGGCAAGATGATTAGAACTAGGGACATCTGCGCCAAACAGCGAATAACGGGTCGGCCGTGCCGTCCTCACCTTACATTCCCCCAGCCTCCTCCTAGGCGCAGAATGTGTCTATACGCGTCGGTGAAGCCAGTGCTTGTGAGCGCTTCATTTCCAGGGGCTGGGTTGCGGAAAGACATGGTTCTCTAACGGAAGCTCTCCAATTACTCGCGGGATCAATAAAAGGGACATTGTCGACATTAGAAAGCTTTTCGGCCAATCAGCCAGCTGTGCGTCAGAGTCTTGTGGACGAACGTACACGGTTGATAGCTTCGTCGGAGCATTCGCAAAGCAGAAGCAGTCACCCGGTCTGTCGGCGGTATAATAAGATCTGACCCAACCACTTGACAACCCAATCACCAAACAAGCTTCCTGGATAACGTGAGCAACTTTTGGTTTCCCCCTTAAGCTGTGCAATATTGGGATATCTGCTCAACCGGGCCCTTGGTTCCTGGGCACCTTGGCGAGCACCGAATGGGTGTTCGAGGTAGGACAATACATCGCAGCTGGGGCATAGCGCGCAATACAAAGCGGCACCAACACCCAAGGAGAGTGGCCGGGAGGACCTAAGCTTTGTCATTATCGGTGGGTTCGACGGATGTGAGCAAATTTCCCTTTCGCAAGAGAGAGTGGCTGAGCACATTTCGTAGGCGCAAGTTCTTGGCTTCTCCCTTATTCCTAACAATCAACAAACCAAAAACATGCTTAACGGGGCCCCTGTGCTGGGAGAATACCTGCTCAGAAAATGTCGGGTTCCTCGTTATACAGAGACGTGCGACGTTCAAAAACGAGATCCTCGCTCCATGTCTATCGTGAGATGGACCAGACAAGGATTATTTGCAGGAGCGAGCACGGCGATTGAACGCGGAGAATATCCCATCTTCAAAGGCTAGAGTCGCCAGAAAGATTAAGTGGTTGCGAATATTATGCGACCTCTTCCTCTCGAACCAACAATGGATTTTTGTGGTGTGTGCCGACAAGGTAGGAATGGCCTGCAATTCCATATCACCAAACTGCGACCTGCAGATCGGATCGAATTGGAGATCTCTGACAGTGATCCAAGGTGTCGACGATTCAAACCCTCCTCGATCCTCGAGTACCCGTCCTTCGAGATATCAGGGCGGTCTCGCGTTATGGGTCGGCAACATCCCCCAAAACACCACCATCATGACTCTGCGCGACTACTTTTCCGAACCCGCCCCGTGCGACCTGCTCAGCGTCTCGTACAACCCGGACGCCCGATATGCCTTTGTCAATTTCAGCTCCGAGGCCGCGCGGCTCGCGGCCATCAGGCTCGCGGGCTCTCGGCTTTTCGACGGCAGGCGTCTGGACTGCCGCATCCGCCACGAGTTTCGGGGGAGGTCGACCAAGGTCAACTACGGACTCAACACCAGCACAAACAAGGCGCTCCTCACCTCATCGAGTCCGGTCCGCTGTGACAGGGCGAAATCCCTGCGCAGCAAGGTCGAAGAATTTACGCATTTCCCCGAGGCGGACAGGTCGTCGTGGGGCAAGGAGAAGTACTTCATCCTCAAGAGCTTCTCGCTGGACGCTTTGTACCAGAGCCTCGAGACTGGCCGGTGGCATGTACCGAAGCGGCACGTTGAGCGATTGAACCATGCCTATCAGGTACGTCGATGCACTCAATCCAAGGACACATATGATGTATTTCGTGAAAAGTCGTGTCCCGCTCTTTCGTTATGGGAGATTTTGTGTTGCCTTTTTGGCTAACTGAACTCCAGACAGCCAGCAAAGTCTACCTGATCTTCTCCGTCAACGGCTCGGGCTGTTTCTTCGGGTACGCGGTCATGCGCTCCGAGATTCGCGTCGAGGACGAAGACCTCATCCCGTTCGGCGACGAAGTGCACGTAATATCGCCGCACGGCTTCGAGGTCGAGGACGACTCCGGGGCGAGCCAGCCCGAATTCGAATGCGACGCACAGCCCACCGCCGCGAGGTCGAGGACGGAGTCACTGGCATCGTCTGACTCGACGATGACGTGCTCCTCGACGGCTTCGTGGTCGTCGTTGTCGCCATCCTCCTCGGTCTCGTCCGGCTCCATCATCTACCAACCCGAACGGCGGAGGATAATTTGGGAGGCGTCCTGGCCACCAAGAACTACTCCGAGGGAAACCGTCTCGACGGAAGAAGATCTGCACACAAACTCGCCAACACGGTCCCTCTCGATCTCGGAGATTCACCCGCAGCCGCAGCCGCAGCCCTTGCCATGGCCGGTTAGTAGAACCGATCCAAACTCCCTATCGACCCCGACCGCGACCGCGACCGCAACCACACTCTCCAACCGGACAGAATCGCCTGATGACATGGCATCCCGATCCACCGCCACCGCCAACGGCGATTCCGACGCATCGTCGTCGTCGTCGTTCCTCGCCACGCTCGACCGCTTCAGCAGCCCCTGCCGAATCAAGTGGCTGTGCGCCCAGAGCCTGCCCTTCGCGGCGGTGCGCGGCCTGATAAACCCCTGGAACGCCGACAAGGAGGTCCACGTCGCGCGCAACGTCACCCCCGTCGAGCCGGCCGTCGCGGCGCGGCTGTTGGAGTGTTGGGGCACAGCCACCACTGCGTCGAGGTCTACGTTTGGATCTGGCTCTCGATAAGGATCGCGAGCGAGATCGGGATCCACGAGCGAGGCGGTCGTGACGGGCAGAGGATAACACGCGGGATCCTCGTCACATCTCCTCCCAGTATCGAACATGAATGTATGCATGCCTCCGAACAAACAAACAACACAAACCCCCCCAGAAGAAAAGGATCGGTAGATCCATGACCGCCAACCGACAAAAAGACGAGATCAATGAATTGAACAACGAAATACAGTGGTGATGATTTCAATGATGAAAATGTGCATTGCATATATGCATGAGCACAATGAATGGATCAATTATCATATCCTCTAGACCCGGGTAGACCCAACATATAATCGCGCGCGTGTAACCGTTCTCACTGAATATGGACGGCTACCGGTAGAGGTAGGGGTTATCAATCACTTTGTCCGGTCACGATCCTTGCACCATGAACAACTTACTAGCCGTAGATGACACGCCGTGTACCGTATAGCGAGTCCATGACGAGTAAATACCTATTAGTTATCATCATATATAAGTACTGCTCAGTCCTCTGTCGAGTAGTCCACGATCATTCACTGGCCCTCCCTGACCGAGACACATGTCCTTCCTGTAAAGAATCCATACTCTCCATCTGATTTGTTCCCACCACGGCTTCATCCTAACGAGTCTCCCAGTCCAAGTCTGCGTCCTCGATGCATCGATCCCAGCTAGATGCTAGGTAGGCAAAACCTCGTGAGACACCTCTACCTACTTACCTCCCACCCACCCTACCTACCTACTCTCTCACTTCACTCTGTACTAGATGTCCATTGAATCTCATGGGTTGCGCGACTGTACGCCTTGCCACCGACCCGGACCTCAAAGATGACGAGTTGGGGTTGGAAAATCACGGCGATCTTATACCGCACCTCCAAATACGTTGCGCTTTCTGGCTCTCGGAATACCTTGGCCGGCGCGTCGGTGAAGTTGCACGTCAGATTCGTCACGGTCGTCAACTTCGAAAGGACACGGTTCCCTCCCAGTGGAGCCATGACGATCGCGTGCGACCATGTCTCGATGGGCTTCATCATGCTGACCGCATGCACCATGGGGATCTCGATCAGGTTCTTGTCATCGTCCAGCGATGTTCCCTATTCTCTCGCGATCAGTAAGAATTGATTGTTGGTGGACACTCGGCGAAGAGAAGCGCAACGAACCGCAACGACAAGCCATTTGATTTGGTCCCGTGCGTACACCCGTCGGTCGGTTTCGTCTCTAAATATATTCTGATCCCGGTGCATGTGTGGATTGAACAGCTGGTTGTATACGATGCCATACGATATCCGGGCCACGCGGGCACGCAGCACCGGTCGGCTGCCCGCACCAAGCCGGTCCACAGCAAGCTGGTGGGCACGGGACATGAGCAGGCCCCTGACCACTGCGAGCTGTCTAGGAAACATCAGTTGCTGACGCCAAGTTGCGTCGGCAACACCAGTAACTTACGGGTCTGGTAGTTGGACGACTCCCGCTGCCGGCATGATGAATGGAGACGGGTCGAGATGGCGGTAAATGTTGCCGAACTTGTGAATGACATATGGAGACCTTCCAAGGCCCCCAGAGAGGACGATGTGAGCCTCAAAGATTGTGAGCTGCGGCTCAGCGAGATAGGGAGCCTATATCGGCCATCTTACAATCGGCGATCTAGGTAGCACCCTCAGTGCTCTGGCTATTTGGTCGTTTATCAGCTGGAATATCCGGTTGAGTTGGTCATCGAACAAGCGTTGTAGCTCATTTCTAAGGGATAAGTTCCGGTCAGCAGACTCGAGGAATATGAAAGCCACTATCAACTATTGTGTGATGTGATGCCAAAGACGTTCCTTTAAGAGTTTCACATTGACAAACATTGCGGCCAAAAAGGCAAGGCTTTTAGCTTACCTGTCCAGTATAAAGCATCCCCTTTCCACTTTGGCTTCTTTCGAATTGAAATCTGTCGGTAAGCCTGGTACTGGCAGTCTGAGAAGGATGATCGCAGAAGTCTCAAACGTGGTCTTGTAGGTCTGGAACAGTCCGATGGTCATCTTTCGCACGGCGTCTTTGATAGAGGTGCGGGAAAGTCCTAGCTCTGCTTCAAGGTATCTCAACCGTTCAAATGCAAGCCGTTGAAACCCAACGTCGATCATTGCGCTACCAAGACTGTAGTCTGACAAAGGAAATCAGTCACACTTCCTACACCAGGAATGGGTGGTGGAAGGAAAAGTTGCTCTCACCTTCAGCTTGATGTAGGACCTGAAATCGTTGACCTTGGCCAGATCCAGCGGTCGATTCGAGAAAACTGATTTTCTATGGGTGAAACGTCCATCAATATGTCGTCGATCAAGCTGAGAGCTTCAATTCACCTACCGTTGATATTCCGCCTAAATCAGCAACGAGAACGACACCTTGGGGCTAAATCACTGAGATGAGCTTTCGATAGTGACGAAGTAGAGCGATCTTACTGTTAAAGGCACTGTGGAGTGAGAAAGGGCAGAAATTACTGTTGCTTCGGCCTCAGTCATGCTCAATTGGCAGCTGTGCTGTCGGCCAGCCCTGCCGAAACCAGCCTTGTCAACGAGAGCCTCGAACGATTGCATCACGTTGACATTCCAGGCAGAAGGTATCGCGAAGATGAATTCAATCTCTTTATGATGCCATCCATGTACCATCCCTGCGAAGCCCTCTTCGATGTGGGCATAGAGCATCCGTAAGAAATCTAGACATAGCTTTCGGGCATGATCAGGGTCTTCTGGCACGCGCCGAGACCCTCTCCACAAGCTGCTGGCGGTCTGCAGCACGCACGGGTCAAGGAATGCTTTGAATGCGTCAAAAATTTGAGTATCATGGTCGTCCGTCTCGCGTATTGCCGGGAATCCCCAGGATAAGAGCTCGCCATTGCGGTAAGCGAGCGCAGTTGGCACCTTTCTGAAGTTAGCGATGGATCTTCGCAAGAACTAGCCAAGCAGACACGGCTTTCTACCTTGTCCTCGGATGCAAATCCAGTTCCTGGCCATCTCCGAAGGATGTTGAGTGTCTCGCCAGGAGTGCCCTTGGTGTCCCACCATCCGACGCCTGGTCTCAATTAGCTCTGTGCAGTAACGGGTATCAGTATGTCCGAGCAAGGACAAGGTGGCTTATACCTGTGTAGGTCGTGCCAAAATCGACCGCGATGACCAAGTCCGGCTGGCTGCTTCGCGAAAGCCTCATGGCCCGAAGGTCTGCAACCAAGGCAGCTTCAGGATATTCCAGAGCGTCAAAAAACTCGTCCGAAGCTCGGAATCTTCCCGAAGGATCGCGATCCACAAAAGCTGCAGTGTAGGTTGTAGTGCTGTCCACCGTGCTTTGGAACATGTTGCCCTCTGCGGCATCTCCGTGGCTTCTGAGATCCCGGATGAATAACTGCAGCGAACCCATCCACTGGTAAAGCGTGGTAATCTGCGCAGTCTCGCGCCTCATGACTGTTGTATCATTCAGGATTTTGTGGGTGTTGTCCTTAGTTTCCATGGACACGAATCTGGCAGGATCAGTTGCCAGAAAAGAGCTTAGCAAGCATGAGAGGACCGAACACAAGAACATTACCGCGATCAGAAAACATGTGGTGGGATGCTATTCGAACTACTCCAACTCCAATAGGCACGAAAATGTCACAAGACCCCCAAAGTGAGAGGAGATACTGACATGGAGGCAATGAGCAGGGCGATTGCAATGGCCGACTTGTGCCCCTCCAACTTGGACTTGAGATTCATCAGCTTTTCCCGCTTCGAGAGCGACCACTTCAAGCGGCCAAACAGTCCGGTAGAAGACAGCTTTCGCAAGAGCTCGCCCATTTGGGTAGTCACGTCGTCGCAGTTCCGGAGGGTGTCGAGGAGATTCTGGCGCAACGAGGCCGGGTATTTGGCCATGTTGCCATCGTCACGCATACTCTCGAGACTCGCTGAGAGACTGGCAAGCTCTTGAAGCAGCTCTTGCATGTCATTGCGGGCGTCTTTGAATCGGGAGGCAAAACCATTGGCTTGGGCTGAAAGCTGGGCGACCGCGGCGATCGTGCCTACACAGGCTGTAGTGATCGAGATTGGATCCATGTCTGCCGCCCATTGTAGTCCTCTGGGTGGGAGGATGATCTAGGTCACCATTACTAGGGCGAAGGTGAAGTGGACAGCCGCAGCTGCTACTTGCAACAGACGCAGAGGGGGAGGGAGGTCGTCAGGCCATCGAACCTCACGTGCCTCACTACCTTGGTATGTAGCGGCGCATCAATCCAAACATGCCAAGATCGGTGCAAACTGACCAAACAAGATATATGAAGCACAACTTAGTAGCGAGCGAGCCAGATATTAAACAAGATTAATATTCATCACCATGTCATATCACTACTGGGCGCATCTACCCTGGGAAAATCATGCTGTGTACTGTGGCAGCTCCTCCATCTGCTCAAACTCGGTCATGGAAATCTCATAGCCCAAATGCCTCTTGAGCAGCTCATGGGTCACAAATCGCTCTGGTGTATTGCCCTGCGCATCGACAAATGACACGTGGTGATTCACGTCGCTGATACGTTGCAATTCATTGGCGTGGCGATGGTGATGCGGGCATCCGTCCACGCCGATGAGGAAGATGGTGACGTGGGCCCACGAGAGACCCAGCAGATCCAGCTCGAACTCGTCCATATCCGTGGCTTCACCGTCGAGCAGCAGAAGCAGGCGTAGCATGGGCGTCTCCGGTCCAGCCTGCCATCCATACACTGGGTGGTGCGTGGCAGACTCGGAGTGCTTCTGGAAGTGCAGCTCCTTGACCTTTTGCCAGCCTGTCATGACGCGCGTGCCGCCCCCGATTCTGACCTTGCGCCACATCCTATCGAGGTTCTGGTGGTTGATGGTGCCAATGTATTCGGCAGAGTCGGAGAAGGTGGTCAGATCGTAGCCACGGAACTGGTGATCGTGGTTGGCCATGGCATCGGTGAAGCGCCGGATGATGGCTTTGGCAACATCTGGTGTACACAGTCAGCATGTTATTCGAAATTCGAGGTTTCTCTGGGGAAAGTACCTTTGTTCTTTGGCTGCGTGGATTTGGCGTAGCCGGTGATAAGATACTGGTCATATCTTGGTCGAACCGGATCGAAGCCCATTGATCCCGAGACATCCAAGAGGATCATTGTGTCGTCTGTGGGCACTTCAGGTCGATCATAAGCGACAAAAGGTTTCGGCATGACTTGCTTGGAGTAGCCAGCAGAGGTATGTTGAACATGACAAGTGTCGGTGGCCGAGTAGTACTCGGGTGGAGGTTCGACGGCAGTGGCCATTCTGGCTCGTGCCATGTTCATTTCGGAGATGAAGTCTGGCTTCATTCTGGCTCCGACACTGCCTTCTCTGTGGTTCAAGACCCAGTAGAGTCGTTCCTCGGCCGTATCTTCGTATCCACGCCATGAAGGGGTAAGCCCTCTCCATCCTGCCGCTGCCTCGATACTGAACTTGAGCGGATTGGAAGCTTGATTCGCCCAGGCCACCGGAATTGGCTCAAAGTACCCAGCCCTGAGCAGATGAAGATATTGAATGGGCTGGCGAGCTCGAAGATAAGCGATTTTTCCGGTCATGCCCACCTTTTCTTGGTATATGGCCACAATATGCCGCCACTGCTCATCAGGCCACCTGCCTTCCTCCTCCGCCAGAATTGTTTCGCGCAGACTACGGCCTTGATCCACCATCTGCTCCACCTTTGCCGTTGCCCTCTCCTTCGAATATTTGATGCCGATGGCCTGTCGGAAACTTGAAAGCCTCGAGGGCTTGCCTGGCCTTGCCGCGCTTCCATCTGTAGAGGAAGAGCCCTCCTTTTGTGGCAGTCCACTTGAATCTTTCTCGTCCTCCGCTTTGTTGGATCGCTTTTTGTCATTGGCGGCCATGATGCTCAGCTGAGAGATTGCGGCTTCTAGTGCAGCATCGTTCCAGATGTCGACCGCTGGTTCCAGCGCGTTGATCCTGGCTTGAGCTTCAGCATTTAGGCGATTGTTGAGGTCAATCGTCTGGTGGATGGACATGGCGTGGTATTTTGGCCGAGGTCTCTGCATTCCCCAGGTGGAGTTTGCGTAGCCATATGGCGACACGACGCGGATTCTGTATGGGTTCCTGCTCAGTCCAGTCAGGCTCTGAGGGTTGTCGTTGTAGGCCTTCTCGCCTACCCCAGCAGCAAAGCAACGAGTCAGCTCGGTTCACATAACGCAACTTGGAAACGTCAAGACATATACTGACCAGGATACATGACTGCCTTTGACCACATGTCCTGCACTCCGTAGCGACTCCATTTCATCCTTTGATAGATGTGGATGGGACAGCCACAATAGTAGTCTGCCTCATGCTCGGGTTCGATTTCGCTGTTGTATATTTGGTACTGGAACTGGAGCTTTTGCAGGGCATTCTGCATTTGTTGCTGCGGGAGCGTGAGCCTGATGTTATGCAATGGTAATCGCAGGCCGAAATACGGAAGACTCACCTCATCTCTCGCACGAACTCTTCCAGCCTCAATGACCGGGTTGGTATGGGGACGTTTGGCTGTTACCCGGCTGGTGGCCCTTTGAGGTGGTGGATGTGATGGTGGCGCATAGGCTGGAGGCTGAACGAGTTTCTCGTCAACCGCTTGCTTGATGTCGCGCGATGGGGCTTTCGCAGTGGTCTGAGTCGTCCTTGATGCCGTTACTGTGCTCTTGTCTTCTTGCGCCTGAATCTGTCGCTCAGGATGCCACTCCTTGTATTCATCTTTCAAGCTTGAGTCCATTGTTCCGCCGCAACGAGTGCCCGACTACAGAACCGCAGTCTATTGAAAGGTGTCAAACGCCCGCCCAGATTCGTGTCGCACTTTCTTCCGCTCTCAAGACTGTTGTTTCTCTTCTTCGTCTTGAGACCAGGTCCGTGATAGCGAAGGAGGGTCGTGATATAGCCATCTCCGCAGGAGGCTGTGCAGTGATGGGTACGTCAACGCCTTGCGGCCTCTCCAATGATATCGATCAGCCGACAGACTCGCATCGGCACATGCAACTGGTGGGTCCGGGGGAGGATTGGGCTCTCGGGCTCTCGTTGTCTACCCGTCGAATCGCAGTGAGAGATAAGCACTGTGGCATTGTGGCACTGTCCCCAATCGTAAGCGAGCGACTGTCAAGCTTTCTCCAAGCCTCACCAAGCTTGTCACTGATTATTCGCGCATCTCCCACCATCTCGCGCATCCTCGTTGCCCCTTGCCACTGCCTGGCGCTACGTTTGCGCACGCGCACGGATGAAAGATGGGCTGCGGAGACTCACTTTTCCGGACGGGGGAGGAATCATTATGCTGAATGAAGGAGTTCCATGCATGTAATACGACGGTGGCGATGGTTGCTCGTATTTTCTGGAGATCCGTTTCTCAAGTCATCCCTCGCTCGCCAAGGGTTATTTGAATATGCGGAGCGGCTTGAAGAAAGAGCATGCAAAGTGCGAATTTAATACCATAAGCCAACCCATTTTACGCCCTCCTTGTTGGACTCCCAGAGACTATCGTGCCTGGCAAACACCCCCACGAGCCAAATTTTTCCTTGCTCAAGACCTGGCCCCAAGATGGCACAGGCTGGAAAAATGACATTTCATATGTACACGTTCTCCTATGTTAATCCTCACGAAATCCATCCTGCATTTGTCTGCCTATCGGCGTGGTAGATGTCGTCAAGGCTCACGCTGGCTAGGCAAGTTTGAGAGACGACCTCACGCCTTGACATATTCCTCGTGGACGCCTGCTGAGCTCTTTCTGCGGACCGCAGCCAGCTCAAGATCTGCTAATGTGCTCCGGCGGGCCTCTGTAGCTCCCATATCCTTGACCTCGGTAAAGCGGACGGTTGGAACAAAGTCGGGCGACTTCCTAGCAGAGCTGACCTTTGCGTAGAGCTCGTCGACCTGCTCGAGGGTCAAACCCTTCGTCTCGTAGATGAAGAAGTACACGAAAGCGCAGCAGATGCAGCAGAATCCGCCCCAGACGAAGAAGACCTTGGATCCCAAATTGCTGTACAAAAGTCAGACAAGTACGTTTAACACGCTCTCTTGAGAGTACTCACGCATTTCCGGGGCCAGGATTGACCATGTATGGTGTAGCATAGGCGATAGCCCAATTGAGGAGCCAGTTCGAGGCCGTGGTCATGGATAAGCCTTTCGCTCTGGCTTTCAATGGGAAAATTTCGCCTAAACGAGAGTCAGTAACAGCCCAAAATTTTCGAAGGGAAGAACGTACCAGTAACAACCCAAGCGCAAGGACCCCACGAGCAGGCGAAGAAGAAGATGTAGATGCAGACGAAAGCAATCAAGGCATTGCTAGCTGCCGGTTCACCAGGTCTGGCGGTGCCCACGCTTGCAACAATGAGCTGACAGACAGACATGCCAATGGCACCGAAGAGAAGAAGCGGCCGTCTCCCCCAACGCTCGACCATCCACAGACCAGGAACAGTACTGCACACGTTGACCACGTCGGTAATGACGGAGATGATGAACGGATTGTGTATCCCAGCGCTGGTAAAGTAAGTCGTGCCATAGTAAAAGATGAAGTTGACACCAGTAAGCTGTTGAAGAGCCTGGAGAGCCATGCCGGTGAATAGTCGTTTCCTGATCGGGGCCTGGAAGCAGGCAAGGTAGGATGCCGTGCCAATGGCCATCTCATACTCATGGTTGGCGATGATTTCGGTCAGTTCCTCGACGACAGCAGGGTGATCCACGGGCAGTCTGCGGAGACGGGCCAGAGACTTTGCTGCCTTTTCAGGGTTTCCCTTCTTGATCAAGAACCGTGGCGTTTCTGGGAGGATCAGCATGCCAGCTACCAAGATGATGGCCCACGCAAATTGGACAGCTACGGGAATCCTGTAAGACCCAGTATCATTGCGGTTTTTGGTAGCATTGAGGACAATCGCTGCGAGGAAGAGGCCGATCGTGACTATAGGCCCCTGTCAGTGTGTTGAGAGCAACCGGAGTCAGGGTACAGGAACGTACTGGCCCACTGATAGCAACCGACAATGGCCCCTCTGATCCATTTTGGCGCCGTCTCCGACTGATATAATGGAATCGTGGCACTCAGAAGGCCA